ACAAACACACACACAAACACACACACAAACACACACACACAAACACACACACAAACACACACACACAAACACACACACAAACACACACACAAACACACACACAAACACACACACAAACACACACACACAAACACACACACACACACACACAAACACACACACAAACACACACACACACACACACAAACAAGCACACAAACCACAAGCACACAAACCACAAGCACAGAAACCACAAGCACAGAAACCACAAGCACAGAAACCACAAGCACACACACCACAAGCACACACACCACAAACACACACACCACAAACACACACACACCACAAACACACACACACCACAAACACACACACACCACACACACCCACACACCACACACCACACGCACGGCACGCACGCACGCACGCACGCCACGCCCACGCCCAACGCACACACGCCCACGCCCACGCCCAAAGCGGCCACGCCCAGCCCACGCCCAGCACACAGCACACACACACACACACATGAGACCCACACACACACACACACACACACACCCACGCACGCACGCACGCACGCACGCACGCACGCACGCACGCACGCACGCACACACGCACACACGCACACACGCACACACCACGCACACGCAAGCGCACACACGCAAACCCGCACACACGCAAACACGGACACACGCACACACGCACACACGCACACACGCAAACACGCACACACGCAAACACGCACACACGCACACGCACACACGCAAACACGCACACACGCAAGCACGCGCACACGCAAGCATGCAAGCACGCAAGCACGCAAACACGCAACCACGCAACCACGCCACCACGCCACCACGCCACCACGCCCGACGCCACCACGACCACACGCACGCACACACACGCAAACACACGCACACAGACACGCGCACAGACACGCACACAGACACGCGCACAGACACGCACACAGACACGCACACAGACACGCACACAGACACGCACACAGACACGCACACAGACACGCACACAGACAAGCACACAGACAAGCACGCACGCGCACACACACACGCACGCACACACACGCGCGCACGCACGCACACGCGCACCCTATCTGGAAGTTTTTTTTTCACAGGACGTGATCCTTGTGTCGACGGTGAGAGCCAACCAGACTGGGAAAGTCGGCTTCATCGGCGACCCCAGAAGGTTGAATGTCACCCTCACCCGTGCGAAGCGGGGCTTAGCAGCTTGGCAAGTACAGCTTTAGAAACGCGACAGAAAGGGCGTAATATTGTCAGACAGGACACGAAGACAAGACCTGTGAGGTGATCATTGGCCATTTCGACACGTTGGCGTGTGATGAGCATGGCTGGCGACCGTGGCTCACCTGGGCACAGCAGTGTGGACTGATCGCAGGCCTTGTCACCTCCGTCCGCGTGACTTCTTGATGCTTGCTTGATTCAATGCAAATGCTTGGCCCTCCTCGGAACAGGCCACCAAGCATCGGATTCAACTGCATCGGAGGTGCGTTGGTGAATAAGCTAGCGGATCCTTCGGTTTTCATCCCAGAAACCTTGTTGCGTTGAGTGTCCTCTAGGGCACGCTTGTGACTTGCAAGGCCTTGAAGAAGCTCGGCAAGATAACTGAGCAATCCCTGCTGCTGGCTGGCTCCTAGCAGTTCAAAAAAAAAGGTCTTGCGTGATGCTTGGCGTTCGTGCTTGGGGAGGGGATCTAGCGAAATTACGCCGTAGTGACGAATGCACGAAACGTCTAACCAGGAAGTATTACGAATGGAAGGGCACCAAACAAGACCAGTCTAGATTTTCGTTCCGGATTCCATCAAGTACAAAGTACAACATCGGAAAACTACTTAATTAAACGACTGTTCCCACCCTTCCGGAGGCGCTTAGTGGGGATTGTATTCATTGGCAGCGACTTGCTTGGCCACGTCTGGCTAGGGGTTGTGGCGAGAGACATGACTGCCGAAATAACTCTCGGGTGTTCTCGTCACACATCCTCCGGATTACAAGCACATATAAACATACTATGTTTTGCCAAGTTCTGGCGGCTCCTGATGCTGTTGTCACAAGCGCTGCCCTGAGCAGCAGGCAGGAACACTGCCACTTCTGTGGGTCAACTCTTCCTTCGATGGACAGCTGCCAAGGCAGACTGCTGACTTTGGAGGGTTGAGGCAAGCTGGCTGGATGTCAAGTTGAATGTGACGGATGCCCCCGAAGGCCCTTTGCTCCGTGGCCTCATGGTCTCTGGCAGGCAGGAGCCTCCCTGTAGCATGGCATTCTATGGCTGGCCCCACGTCTCCACCAATACAGGTACCTCCAAACATGAATGATCGGAACTTGCGGGAACCCTCGCGCTATCACAGCGAGGATGAATGCCTGCGCCTGACGTCTCTTTCGCCTGACAGCCGTACTGTAGATCGATGCATGATGGATCTGAGGTGGCTTTCTTATCGACCTAATACTGCAGGATCAAGCAGAGGCATCCTAGAAACGAGTTCAGTTGCGCTGCTCTTTTCACAGAAGCACAGGGCTTGTTTAGAAGCCTCCGAAGGAGCCACCCGATCTGTCATCATGGGAAGAGATGCACTGCGAAGCTTTTCTCGATTCCGACCGCTCTCCGTTACCATGGAGAGCCTTCTATGCTCTCTGCCTGCATAGATCTGCACAGCTTGCCACAGCAAATCACAGTGAAGAGACACTGCAAAGGGTGAAGACACTCTCGTGCCTGAGGTTCCATTTGGAGTTTCCGATCGACGAAACAGCTTTGCAAGATATTGCATTTGGCGCCGGCGCAGATGAAAACTAGTTCTTGGCGCGTCGCGTGCTATTCAAGCCCTTGCTCTCCGACATGTCTGTGGAGCTTGCCAGATGCAGGACTCTGGCAAGTGCCGGAAGCCGATTGAAGGCCCCCAAGCCATCTCATGAATCAGGGAGGGAGGGAGGGACGGAGAGACAGAGAGACAGAGAGAGACAGAGAGAGAGATGCGAGGCCGAGTTTCCGTCACTTCTTATTCTGCACTTTCTCCTGTCGCCTCGTTGGTGATGCCTTGGCAGGTGAGGACTGTGCGGTCTGCTTCGAGGCTTGCTAGTGAAGCTTGCCTCATGATGTGATAGCGAAATAAGCTCAGAGGCCATGCGCATGTCCGAAGAGGCTGCAGGCTCTGCAGCTTGCTGCAAGGGCACCACATGTCGGTTGTACTTCAGACGTCCGGGAAGACACCAGGTCAGCTTGTTTGTTGCGGGTTCTGCGGAAACAACTTCCACTCAGACTGTGCGAGCCCCAGGTTCCTTAAAGTTGTGGCATCTAGCTCCATCCGATATGGGAATTATTGTATAGTCCTGTTATCGTAAACATCCGAAAAGAGTATGTGTCAATGACAAAGCACGCCAGCCTAAGGCATCAGACGTTGGCAGCTTGCCTCCTCTGGAAAGGCTGCGCAGCAACCTTGTCCACTCTGCCGGGGCTCCACGGTGTCTTCACAGCGCAGTGCCTGCGCCACGCTGCATCACTAGCGACCTTACATGGCTGCGAGGTCGCCAGTGGTGGGCTTGGACGAACTTGTCTCATCCGTTGAGGACGTCCTGCCATCGCACCCTCTGTGCTAGGCCGTGGCAGCCTGCAATGTTGGGATCTCAGCCAGCTAAGAGTCTAAGAGCTCCCTTGAAACCCTAGTTTTGCCTACACGATGCAGCATGGCACGTTGCACTGTCAAACGCCTTGAAAGTGCAGGCATGTGCCACCCGGTGGTCGCATCTTAACGTCGAGGTTAAGGCTGCCTGTACATGAAAGCAATATTTTACACACAAGAGCACCATGCAAGCCAGGGTCTGGGCATGTTTGAGCCATCTTGTACGCTCCTCCCAGGCCATGCGCCGGATCTGCATATTTGAACCTCAGCCTGCCCAGCACCCACCGCTGATCCAGCCCCACTGCATGCGCAAAGCTCTGCAAAGTGCAAGAGCTGGACGTTGTGCGCGCGTTACTGATGCAGTCAGCGAGACAGCCGATGACGGCAAGACGCGCTTCAAAGAAAAAGGAACACATGGCCTTCATGGTTATCACGTGTGATCACATGACATACTCTACAAGTGGTAACAAGTTATAAGGAACGATGTGCAGACTGCGTGGCTAACACGCACTGACACTTTGTTGTGGTTGGCAAGTAGCCATGCTTGTGATTGTCACGATCATCGGGGGGCAGGGAAAGTGTGCAGCCGGATTGGCCTCATTTGGCGTCTGGCTCCTGTTAAGACGAGTTAGCCGCCGCCACTTTGCAAGCCTTGCAGCCTGGAAGCATTGTGCGCAAGACATGTGTGATGCAAGCAATCATCCTGGGACGGTGGACCACAACGTGTCTGTTTTTACCAGGTACTTTCACATGATCATGCCATCAGCTCCTGGTCAGTTTCCGTGAGGCTCCAGAAGATTCTCCAGCAACAGAGGCCGCACCACGCGCGTGCAGATCCTTGCAGGCACGTGGGTGTTAGGCTTCCCCTCTGACTTTTGAGTCGTTGAGGCCTGCAGCTTGCTGCGCCAGGAGCTTTCTTTCGCAACCATGGGCTTCGATCTGAGCTCTGCCCAGCGTTTTGCTCTGCTTTCGGCGGGTGGCGGGGATGTTTTGGTTCTTTTTATGTGCTCCACCTGTGACGCGCTGACAGATGTCCTCAGTATATGTATGGCACGGTGGCATTCGGCAGTGCCATTTCACCTCTGATGCTTGCGGAGCTGGAACGAAGTTCCCTTCAAAAAAATGCCCAAAGTGACATTCAGCCTCAGCCAATCCATGCGGCCTTGATCTGGCGGCTCCGGTGTGTGAGTTCTGCGAAGGCCTGGCAGACTTCCAATGCCATCATTGCGTGGGGAGGCCCAGATGTGCCACCCAGATGTGCCACCCAGATGTGCCACTTGGATCCGACGTAAAGTCTAACGTCTAGTTACGGCAAGACGGCTCAGGTCGAGATCATTGAAGAGGGGATGCCGATGTACATGGGCAAGGGGCCCAGACTACATGCGGATACATGCGGTGCAGTCCGCGGGTCAGATTCTGAAGTGTTTGATTGTCCAACCTCCCGAGGTCACGACGCATGCTACTGTAGCATCGCGTGCCGAAAACGGGGTAGATCTGTCGGGAGCCCAGAGACACTGGGCTGTCTGATGCATATCTGTATATACGATTCATGTATTTTCGTGCAATTTTCGTGCATGTTTTTTGGGTTGGGGGGGGTCGGGGGGTGGAGGGGGGGATGGGGGGCGAGGCGGCTTCCCTCAGCCACAGTTTGCACCTGCCAAGCCACCAAGGTAGAATATGCGAAGCTGAAAGGCATCAAGTTGGAAGAGTCCTGCGCTCAGTGATGGACGTCCCTGGTCAGTCTGGTCTGCCACAACTTCATTCCTCAGCCCTTGTTGCTATACGAGGACTAATGATTGCGCCAGCATGTACAGCAGCATCCAGTCTGACTCGCCCCTCGCCGAGTTGGTTGAAGATGGTGCAAGCACGGCTTAATGTGGTCATCGTCATACACGATGCAGCGCTGATCATTGACGCACGTGCCCGCCAGATTGCGTTGGCCGCAGGACAGCAACGTCGTCAAAGAAAACCGACAGTGCCCAACAGGGCGGAATGCTGAGATGGATTCTCAGCGCAGGGCTGCGGCAGCTCGCGGCTGGGGCCCCAATACCCACAGCATGAACCTGCATAAATTGCAACATGAGGGTTCGAGGTATCGACAGAAAACCCATCCTTGTTTGGCACTCATCCTCACTTGTTTGAGGAAACACTGACTTCTCAAAACCCACTCATCTTGATAGCCCCCTGTAGCTTGCGGCAGTTGTGCTTCTACGCATAGTGTTGCCCCGCCGTGCATCTTCAATGAACGAAAAAAGGCACGTAGAGAAATCTTACGCTTCCTGCATACTTTCCTTCGCAGGCGATTGCTGGAGGCGCAGAGCTCCTAAGAATGGGGTCGCGACCTTGATGTGCTGGAGTGAAAATGGCCGTCGACAGATGTCAACACTTGAAGGTTCTGGGTTTGGGATGCAAAGGGTCTGTGTAAGGGCCGCCGGCAGATTCATGGTCGGTAGTCAGTCCGGTCGGGCGGCGCAGGTTGTGAGTCGTATGGTATTCAGGTCGTTCGCCTCTCCACGGGCTGCGTGGTGCCCGCATGTGGCAGACCCAGTTCATGCTGCTGCACATCTTTTCGCGTCTTCAACAGTATGGCCTGCATATGCCTGCATGAGTATAGACGAATCCAGTGACTTTGTGCATAGTCTGTTCGACTGCAGCGCAGCATTTTGATACGGGTGCATTCCCGGCGCCCTGCGCTATCTGGCCAGGACGGGGGGGGCTTGGGAGCTGCTGCTTGATCAGCCCTCGACATACACTTTAAGTACATTGAAGGCCAGCCTCCTTTGCCTGAGTGAACCTGGCTCTGAGAAGGAGTATGGACGGTCTGCCAACAACCCTCGGCAAGCCCTTCCAGAAAGCCCTGGAAAGGTATTGCCGCGTTGAACCGCCGCTGCCCGACGTAACGGAGTGGCAGGGGAAAGTCAAAGTGGGTGAGTTTTCCCACCTTGCACACAAGAATCGCCTGTCTCCCCTACGAGATGAAGACATAGGGGACATTGGCATGACCTTGTTGCAGCCAAGGTTGCGAAAGGAGGAGTTGCAGGTGGGGTGCTGCCCAGCCTTCAGCCTCCTGTTTCATGGGCCTGAGAGCCGAGGAGCTGAAATCCCTACTTGTGGCAAAGAAGACCTTAGACACCAGCAGCTCAGCTTCCGAAAGATGTTTGCTTGTGCTGTTTGAAAGCACCGAAGTTTGTCCGAGCAGCATGTATCAGATGCGCCCACCCTCAGGTAAAGCCAAGTGCATGGGCAAGGAGCATGGGGGGATGCACAGGGCAAGAATCATGGGCCCTTAGCATGGTCCCTTGCCCCTGCGTATAGGGATCCGAAGTATGGGCCCTCAGTATATATGGTGTGTATAAGGATGACATAGGGCCCAAACACTCGGCAACCCAGAGACTCCACTTGTCCGGAAGCCGCCTTTGGCTCTCCAGCCGGGTGCAGCGTGCACCCTAAAGCCCTAAACTGTGGCCTGAGTGTCAGCTAGGCGGGTGGCAAAAAAAAACCCTAAACCCTAAACCCTTCTGGGCAGTTGCTCAGACTCAGAGATAGCGCCGAGTAAACCCCTCTGGGCCCCGCGATGCGCGGCAGACATCATGCCGCAAGCTTTGAGTCCAGAGACTTGCCGGGGCATTCAGAGGGCCCCGGGCTTGAGATCCAGAAATGCCAGGGGTATCGATGCTGCTGAGAAGTACCAGGAGCCGGATGAGGAGCATGCCGCGGCACGCGACACTCTTGAGACCTCACCCAGGCCAAAGTCTGAAAGGTCTGAGCGAGCTGCACTGAAGACTCCAGATGAGGATCTCGACGTGTGGATCCACAGCCAGTTCTATGCCAGAGGCGGGCAGAAGAAGAAAGCCTTGCAAGCCTTGTCACGGCATCAGACGGGTATCAGCGTGCATCAAGTGCCAGAGGTTCGGAAGATCAATTCCAGCACCAACCGACTAGGTGTGAAGCTGGAGTATTACCGCGATCACACTGAAGCAGTTGAGTCGCTGATGAGGGTCGTAGAAGAGGGCTTCATGTGCCAAGAATCCTCCAGTGGCGAGCCTCTCGTCAACGTCGCGAAGGTGCGTTCTCGTGGCCTAAAGGTCACGGAAACAGACTTGTTGGACGTGAACGGTGCAAGACCCCGAAGCCAAGCTTCCAGGGCCTCAAGGTCCCCTGGCTCACGACCATGGACTCCACGAGCTCTACTAACACCTGAGCTGAAGATCACGGCCGAGCAGCAAAGGAGCTCAGCACACAGCGCGCGTCTTCGGGATGCTGTCCAAAGGGCCCGGGAGATTCACACGGAGAGGCGCCTTGAGCATGCCTTCCGCCTACGTCTTCAGCAGACGCGGCACGAGAGGGCGCAGCGCGAGCGGCCGTGGATCACCATCCTGGTGGTCGCCTTGAGCAGCATGCTGCTACGAAAGCTGGTGACTGTCCACCGTCAAGTTCGACAGGCCATCTGTGGAGACCATCAGGGCATAGATCAGACTCAGGTCATCAGGGTGTATCGGGACGACTTCCGGCAAATCTGCCGAGAACAAGGAGCAGACCTCAGCCTGTTCACGCCCCGGCAGTTTCAAGTCGTGCAGGCTGACGTGGCTCGCCTCTGTGACCTCGAGCTGCAGCGGCGGAGGAGTCATTTAATCTGGACGGCCTGGAAAAAATTGCTGCGCCTTCTGGTTGTGCCTTGGGGACATGACTATATCCCCTTATAAAACCCAAGCGGATACTAAACATATTTTAAGGGGCTGCGCCCATGGGCGGGCAGCGCAGGCAGAAGCGCGGGGCGAGCAGTTTCTAAGCATGTTGAGGCCCCTAAACTCCCTTAAAATCTCTAAGCGTTAAGTTTCTAAGCATTTTCAGGCCCCTAAACTCCCTTCAAATCTCTAAGCGTTTGAGGCTCCTAGACTCCCTTAACGTTTCTAAGCACTTTATAAGGCCCCTAAACTCCCTTTTTCCTAGCCCCGGGCTTAGACACGTCGCTTATGCCCGCCCTTTGGGGGGCATCATGCTCCTGATGCGCCCCCGGGGTCCCGCCCCGGGAGCCGCTGATGCTCCTGATGCGCGCCTGGGGGTCCCGGGCTGGACCCGCTGATGCTCATGATGCGCGCCCTCTGGGGGCCTCCGTGGCGACGCAAAAAACCACGAAAAAAAACCGTTCACCGGCGGCACGCGGGGGTCGGCGGCACTGGCGTCCGGCCTAATTCTGCTTCGCAGAAGGCCAGAGGCCAGCAAGGCTATTCCCGGGACGACCCGGGCTAAAAGGTCCGCATTTGCTCGGTCCTTGGGGACCTCGCGCTGCCCGATTTAATGGCTATCGCCAGTGCCGCCGACCCCAAAACGGCACGGGGTTTAGGGTTTAGGGTTTAGGGCGCAGGCATAGGGTTGAGTCGACCGTCTGGTCGTGTAGGGTTTAGGGTTTAGGGCTCAGGGTATGGGGTTGAGTCGACCGTCTGGTCGTGTAGGGTTTAGGGCTCAGGGTATGGGGTTGAGTCGACCGTCTGGTCGCGTCGGGTTTAGGGTTTAGGGCTCAGGGCATAGGGTTGAGTCGACCGTCTGGTCGTGCAGGGTTTAGGGTTTAGGGCTCAGGGTATAGGGTTGAGTCGACCGTCTGGTCGCGTCGCTTAGGGTTGAGGGTTGAGGGTTAAGGGTTCAGGGCTCGGGGTTTAGGGTTCAGGGTTCAGGGGTCACGTCGACATCAATGTATCTGTTTTGTTCGCTTCTTTGCTTTCACCACGCATGGCCCCAGCGGCCCTAGTAGGGCCCTAAGCTGAGTTTTAAGGGCTCCAGTGCCGCCGTGGCCCTCTGGCCCCATGGCTTTATGGCCCCAGCGGCCCTAGACCCTAAGCTGAGTTTTAAGGGCTCCAGTGCATGCCCGCGACCCCCACTGGCCCCATGGCTTCATGGCCGCAGCGGCCCTAGGCCCTAAGCTGAGTTTTAAGGGCTCCAGTGCATGCCTACGACCCCCACTCCCCCCGCCCTCTCCGCCCACTCCGCCATGGCCCTCTGGGCCCATGGCTTCATGGGGGAGCGGTCGGAGTGGGCGCGCCCTTGAAGGCTGGGGCCATGGGACCATGGGGGTAGGGCCCTGGAGACCATGGGGGTGAGCCCTAGCCATGGAGAGTGGAGGAAGTGGGCATGTGCTGGGCTTAGAAGGGTCATGAAGCCATGGGGCCAGAGGGCCATGGCAGAGTGGGCGGAGAGGGCGGGGGGAGTGGGGGTCGCGGGCATACACTGGAGCCCTTAAAACTCAGCTTAGGGCCTAGGGAGAGGGTGGGCATGCACTTAAAACTCAGCTTAGGGTGTAGGGCCGCTAGACCCGAGCGGAGGGTGGGGCGAGTGGGGGTCGTGGGCATGCGCTGGAGCCCACTCAGCTTAGGGCCCAGGGCCGCTGGGGACATGAAGCCATGGGGCCATAAGGCAAGGCGGAGTGGGCGGAAAGGGCTTGTCAGTGGGGTGTGGAGCCCTTAAAACTCGCTTCGGGCCTAGGGCCGCTGGGGCCATGAAGCCATGGGGCCAGAGGGGGTCACGGGCATGCACTGGAGCCCTTAAAACTCAGCTTAGGGTAATACCATGGACGGCACTGGAGCCCTTAAAACTGAGCTTAGGGCGTAGGGCCGCTGGGGCCATGAAGCCATGGGGCCAGAGGACCGTGGCGGAGTGGGCGGAGAGGGCGGGGGGAGTGGGGGTCGCGGGCATGCACTGGAGCCCTTACAACTCAAGGCGGCTAAGGCCATAAAGCCATGGGGTTAGAGGGCCATGGCGGCACTGGAGCCCTTAAAACTCAGCTTAGGGCGTAGGGCCGCTGGGGCCATGAAGCCATGGGGCCAGAAAGTCATGGCGGAGTGGGCGGAGAGGGCATGCACTGAAGCCCTTAAAACTCAGCCTACCGCCTAGGGCCGCTGGGGCCATGAAGCCATGGGGCCAGAGGGCCATGGCGGAGTGGGCGGAGAGGGCCGGAGTGGGGGTCGCGGGCGTGCGCTGGAGCCCTTCAAACTCAGCTTGGGGTCTGGGGCCGCTGGGGCCATAAAGCCATGGGGCCAGAGGGCCATGGCGGCACTGGAGCCCTTAAAACTCAGCTTAGCCACAGACCCATAACGGAGTATTAAAACTCAGCTTAGGGCCCAGGGCCGCTGGGGCCATGCCATGGGGCCAGAGGGCCATGGCGGAGCGGAGAGGGCGGGGGGAGTGGGGGTCGCGGGCATGCGCTGGAGCCCTTAAAACTCAGCTTAGGGCCTAGGGCCGCTGGGGCCATAAAGCCATGGGGCCAGCGGGCCATGGCAGCACTGGAGCCCTTAAAACTCAGCTTAGAGCCTATGGGCCAGAGGAGCATGAGCAGCAGTCGGAGTGGGCGGAGAGGGCGGGGGGAGTGGGAGGCCTCAGCCCTTTATCCTCAGCTTAGCGGCTTAGCGCCTATGGTCGAAGGCTGGGCCATGGGACCATGGGGGTAGGGGTCTGGGGCGCTGGGGCCATGAAGCCATGGGGCCAGCTATGGGAAGCGGTCGGAGTGGGCGGGTGGAGCAACGTGGGGCACTGGGGCCATGAAGCCATGGGGCCAGAGGGTCATGGGGGGGAAGTGCAGCAAGTGGGCATGCACGGACCTAAAACTCAGCTTGACTATGGTGAAGGCTGGGGCCATGGACCTGGGGGTAGGCCCTGGGCCGCTCGGGCCATGAAGCCATGAGGCCAGAGGGTGATGGGGAGCGGTCGGGGGGAGTGGAGGAAGCGGAGGCCATGGGACCATGGGGTAGGGCTCTGGGGCGCTGGGGCCATCATGGGGGGAAGTGGAGCAAGTGGGCATGCACGGAGCCCTTAAAACTCAGCGTAGGGGTTATGGTAGAAGGCTGGGGCCATGGGGCGATGGGGGAATGGCGGGGTGGGTGGGGGTGGTGAAGGTCGGGGGTAGGGCCCTGGGGCATCATGGGGGGGAAGTGGAGCAAGTGGGCATGCACGGAGCCCTTAAAACTCAGCTTAGGGCCGATGGGAGAAGGCTGGGGCCATGGGGGAATGGCGGGGTGGGTGGGGGTGGTGGAAGGTCTAAGAAGCAGTGGGTCTTCACTGACGCCGCCCCCGGCTGGGGTCGGCGGATTGTTTTTAGTAAGGTTCTAAGGGGAGTATAGATGAACCCGAAAAGGGTTTATATGTTCCATATGCCTGAATAATTAGGGGTTATCATCGTACAGGGTATAATATTAGACCCCAATTTTAGGGTACATTTCGTCCCCTTAAGGTGTATACACGGCTCCGACGCCCTCTACGCAAAGCCGCAGCGGCTGACGCGCTGAAATCATTCATCGGCGCATCTTCTCGGGCATACTTGCTGCGGCGAGCTGTCAAGAACTTTGTGCGGTCTGTCTTGCTGGTACAAAAAGCGATGCGACATCAAGCTCGAATCTTCAAGACGATTCAGAACTACATCTTGAAGCCATACTTGTGGTGTGCAGAGACCCAAGCACTTGGCGACATCTGCCGTGTACGTAAGCCAGAGGTAGCTGCAAGAATAGAGGCCTATTTGGACGAAGCGGATGTGGAACGCTGGAAGGCAGAAGCGAGGCAAATGATGATTTCAAGAGCACGGGCATGGCGAGAAGAATACATGAATGTGCCGCGCCCGTCCAAAGAGCAAGTAATGCTCCAAGACGATGCGAGCATCCTTCATGCTCGTTCAGAAGCTCGGCAGCAGATGTCGGTTGCAGTGGCTACGCTTTCCGACCCCAGAGCTGCAAAGCGCTGGCGAAACAACCCGGAACATCATGGCGACACAACGCAGACGCCAAGGAAGTCGATGACTTTCAGCAAGAACTTCGCAACCATGAATCGTGTGAGGCTCGACTCGAAGGAACGCGACGAGATTGCGCGAAAAGTGCTTCTTCGCATGATTGACTTCTGGTGGAACTCCTTCTGCTTCTATCAAGCACAGGCTGGTAGATCCAGAAAAGACTGGATCAATTGGCGTAGGGAGGTGCTCCGCCATGGCTCACTGGACTCGCGGGCACCAGACCCACCGGAAGTTTTGGTCTACCCTGAAATCTCCTTCGCGCAAGCTTACACGTGGCTGCAAAAGGAGGTCGAATATCGACTCAGGGACAGGCAGGACTCCAACGTGCTCATGGACTTTTTGTAAGGTCCTGCGCAGCTTCTGTTTTCCAGGACTGGGAACGACATTCAGAGCACATGCAGGCAGAGCCAATTGAGTTTCACTGTTTCGTGGTCTGCGCAGTAGCAGACGTTCGCTGCAAAAGCAGCCCATGACTCGCCAAAAAGCTCCATAAGCATTCGCAGGCCGGCAAGTTGGAGTTTAGGGTTTAGGGTTTTGGGGTTCCGGGTCGTCCAAAGACAGCATAAGACAGCCTTAGCAGGGTTACTGTATGCAGGACGGAAAGCCCACTGGAACATTTAGTGCCTCGGCAGCCAATGCCAAGGGCGACCACACTGGATCCAGACGCTCGCCGGCAATGTGAGCATATTCAACCCTAAACCCTGAACCCTAAACCCTAGACTGCGACGCCGGTGGAACGTTGTCTGATTTGCGCAGTGGCGTTCAGGCATGTTTGGCAGCTGGCTACGTCTCTCGCTGCACTAGTGATTGACCCTAAACCCTAAACCCTAAACCTACTGCAATACCAGCACAGTGCAAGACTTGCCCGCGCAGCTGCACGATGCGAATATGCACCGGCATGGGGCCAGGTGACAACTGCATCATTGCATGGGGCTTGTTTTACACTGATCCAGAGGCCGGCGCCAGCACTCATTGGTCCCTGACAATTACGTGTGTATATATATATATATATAGTACAACTATATTCTAATGTGTATATATATATATATTACACTCGCACATACATATATATATATACACACACACACACATATGCTAAGACCGCTCTCTGCCACCTTTGACAGGGGCCAGGCTCGGATGATGCAGTGGCGTGCCTCACTAGCATCGCGAAGTTCCTCTTGATTCTGGGCAGCAGCGGCTGTATTGGTGCTAGTAGGACGAGCCGGCCTCGCCAGTATCCCAGGCCTAGGGGGAGAACTAATCTGTGACATTGATCCAGTCAAAGGAGGGTTTAGGGTTTAGGGTTAGGGTTGAATACAGCGAGGATATAGCTGACAGCAACTTGAACAACTACAACTCAGCAGGAATGAGAGTTCTTTCTCTCGGAGCGGGCTTGGTTGCGAAAATCTCCACACTGTGGCGCCTCAAGGAAATACCAGAGCCACAAGATGGAGCTGGTGATCAACGGCTTGAAGGACCATCCCCCCGTTCTTGGGTTTAGGGTTCTTGATTTGGGCTGCTTGCCGGTCATCTCTGCTGCATGATTTTGTTGGCATGCACGTGCACAATCCTGACTCTTATTGATAAGTGCTCAGCCCCTCCCCGCCACCCCGTGTTAAGAGGGCTTTACCCCTTTCTCCCTGACCAGCCGATGAGCATTTTTTGGGCAAGTCGACAGAGAGGGAGCGGGAGGGAGAGAGAGCTCTGAGGTTTCATTCTGGGGTGTTGACCATCCACGTACTGTTCTGCGTGTCTAACATCGAGCATCTGGCGCACCCGGGCACACAGGGAGGGGAAGCACTCCCTCTGAAGCAGATGAGAGAGCTCCTTAGCGAGCTTTACGCGCTGCTGGATGTCTGGGGAGCAGGAGTCGTGACAACTCGCTCATCTGCTTCACGCCGATGGCTGGGCAAAAGTTGTGGACGCGCGAATACGTGGGGGGCGTCGTCCCAATCTCGCTTGCGTGGGGGGATGTGAAGAAGGGAGGGAGGGAGACAGTCCCCTTTTTTGGTTTCTTTTCAGCCCTCGGGTGAAAACAGCCCGGGCTGAAATTTTGAGTGAGGGATTGAGTAAGGCAGGCAAACCCTATGTTGTTGCACGCTCAACCCGGCACGACACAAACTTCGTGAGTTGACAAGGATGTCAAGGGGGATGAGAAGACCTGGATGGATCGTGCCTGTGCTCAGCAAAAGTAGGCCCTAGTTGCGCATTCTGTTTGTCTGCGGAGCAAGCCAGCCCTTTCTTCATGCCATCACTGCAAGCAAGGACCTCATATCAGGTTTATTGGCGAAACAGGACTGGAAGATCCCAAGTGGTGCCTGGTCAAAACGTGAGATTTCGCCCTGAAACTCGTCAGCTGTTCAGTCCCAGGTACAACCACAAGCAAAACGATGCTTTGGGATACTTCATGTGGGCCCAATACCCGGTTGTGTTGCGGCTTTTTGTCTCCTCACATCACCTTGGAAGTTCGAAGCACATGGGTCAGGCCCGAACTCAGCTGGCCTGGCACAAGAAGTTGCCTTTCGATGGAGAGCACCTCAAACTCATGGGCCAGGCAATCTCTAGACTCTAGCTGCTCCAGCGACAGCTGGGCATTCTGATGCCACGAATGCTTGAACATGCTCCAGCACTGACAGCTCTTCGACTATCTGCGGGCGATTGAGTGTTGGGAAGACTTGGACGGAGGCAGCCTAGCTGGAACGCACTGCCCTTCCTTCGTAATTGCTTTCAGTGGGCGTAGCGTGTGTTGTGGTACCGTCGCTTATACTTTGCAAGCGCAGGCCATTGGGAGGAGCACTCTGCTGTGCATGCATCCTCCATTGGGCCAGCTGCTTGATTTTGTTGTGCGTGATGGGCCAAGTGCTTCCACGAAGATCACCAGTGAGGCCTCCGCTGGCAGCTGTCAAACTCTTTAAGAAGGCACGAGGGGGGCACCCGGTGCGGGAATTTCACTGAAAACGGAACTTGCGTCAGGTAGCTGCCAGGGATGGCTTCTTGCCGCCATGCAAGAGCGACACCTTGGACGTCTTAGAGTCAAATCTCGAGGCCGCTGCGACATGCTATCTTCAGCAGCCTGAGCATGCTTCTGCTTCTCGATGGAGCTTCAGCCATTGGCCATTGCCAGTCTGCCCTGGGGAAGATTCTGCCCAACGCCGGGTCCTCAGCCACACAACTTCGACTCGCTGGGGACACTGTTTGTCTAGGGCGGCTCTATAGTTGTTCAGTGTTTTTTCTCGTGTTCTCTCAGTTCTCCCCCCCCCAAAAAAAAATCCTTTGGAAGCTTCTCACACAGAATTCTTCATTCCAGACATCACAAGACTCGCAAGACGAAGCCGTGCACATTTGTGACTCATCTTGAGCACCCGTTTCTGCTCAATGTATCCATGCTCGGCGCCTCATGGGTTATTCTGTTATTCGTGGGCTTGGGCCTAGGATGGCCAAGGTTTTTCATGAGTGAGGAGTCTTGGGAGGAACGTTTTGGAGTTTAGCTTGCGATTAACGCCTGCTGGTTTTTACGGGTGCCCCAGGGTTGGGCCAGGTAGACGTAGAAGGATTCGTGCACGGGTTTGGGATGTGTCTCTGCTGCGTTCCAGGGATTGTGGTCTCCAATTTTGCAAGCAACGATTCACTCGGTTGGATCTGTTGCAACAAAGCCACGAAACGAATATTCGGAAAGCCACCGAAAGCCTGTTTAGTGATCTCGGATCTTAGGAGGATCTTCGGATGTTGTTCGCTCATTGCCCAGCGTGCCTGATGAGTTCGGCGTAATTAATTTCACAAACTCGCCCAGGAGATCATTTTCCCCGCAGATCTGGCAAGAGACGCTGACGCTGCCACCGTCTTCCTTGCATATCCTTTAGAGGCCAACAGCCTCCTGCACTCACTTCACTCACTTCACTGGCCAGGCAACTGTGCTCCGATACGTTACCTCAGAACACCGGTCCCATTGCAGGTGGTTGATGACGCAGTGGGGCTTCAAATCATGGATCGCCTGAAGAAGGCGAGCAGCGGGAAGGGAGGGGGGGGGAGTGGAGCTATGGGAGCTTCATGGGAGCTTCCAAACTTTTTTGTGCAACTTCTGAAGGCAGCCTTGACCCAGGTCATGGGCCACATCGGCATGTGCCGCTACCGGAAGGCCAACAGCGTCTCCGACGCACGTTCAAGCGCAGCGCACGCCTTGTGCAGGATAGCTACTGGTGCAAGGACTGCCTCCAGACGTATGCCCACAGGGTTGCGGGGGTCACGAAAGAGAGCAGTGCAGGACTACAAGGACAAGGTCGGAGACGATCCGACAAAGCATTTCACGGATGAGGAGTTGAAAGAAAGAGACAGGCTATCTGCTATCTCCCCCCGGGCTGACAAGAGCAGACTGTTGTGGCCAGAGTGGTGCTGCAGGCTGCTGAAGGACGGCGAGGAGGCACAATGGTGCTTATTCGATCCGATTCTCGGCAGCCCTTTTCATGAGTCGCAGCTGCGATGCAAGCGACCGATTCCAGGGTCGTCGAGAGCCTTGTGGGCACTTGAGGATGGTCAGCGCCTTCTACGGCCGCATGTACCAGAAGACAAAGGCGATGGAAACAAGAGCCGAGAGCCGCTGAAGAATCAAAATAAGTCTGTGATGTGACAAGGCGATGTTTTTCTTTTTTGCAGTGTAGCTGCAGCTTACGGTGCCAGGATGCCAAGTACTTGAGACTGCAGCAGCTGTTCCTTGCGAGGCACGTAGATTTCGATCCCAGAGTCTGCGATGAGACTCTGCACCCTCACAGCTCTCAATCTTTGCGAATGCGCAGGTCTCTGGCCGCAATTACTGGAGATTCCTGCCCCTACGGTCCGTGGCACTGCGCAGAGGCGCCTCAGCAGATCCCTTCCCGCCTTGTTTCGAAGGGCGAGACTCGGAGGGGACAGTCGGACAGACTTAGACCTATTTTTGGGCATGTTTGCTGTCACCTGCCTACGTCATCAGGCTTACTATCTGGAGAAGGACACCTGGGTCCCAAATGATGATACACCGCTGGTTTGGACGCAGCACCCCGACAGCTCAGCCTGTCCTGGAGTGGTTGAAGCAAGACTTGGTGGAGACTGCCCAAGGAGTATCCCCTAAACCCTAAACCCTAAACCCTAAACCCTAAACCCTAAACCCTAAACCCTAAACTTACATCTGCGCGCGATCTAAGGGTTGATCTCAAAATGGCCTTGTTCGAGATGGAGCGCAGCCTGGCACTTGTGATGTAAGCTGAAGGACCACTTTGGTTTAGGGATTAGGTTTAGGGTTTAGGGTATAGGGTTTAGTCACCAAGTCCCAGTTGCAAAAAAGGGTTTAGGGTTTAGGGTTTAGGGAGTGCCGTGGCCCTGTAGGCTGGGCTGGAGCTGAAGCTGGGCTTTCAGCTTCAGGTCAGAAATGAGGGGGTTTCCGAAATTGGGCTACCCTGTTTTGGGGTTCCTTTCGGATTCTATTCAGTTTTGGGGTATAAAGAGGGGCACCCCTATGTTCGAAAACCCCCAAATCAATTTAACCAAAGATCGCTTTCATTGACCCTGGCGTGCAAAACTTCGCGCCTCGCGCCGTGAAAAGATGGACACTGCGCGGCTGCAGCTTCTATCAGCTTGCGCTGGATACATGCTGCTCACGACCTGCGCCTGTCGTCCTTTCTTGCGCACAAGTCGGTTCCATCATCAGCGAAGGTCTGGCATCGCGTTCAGGTGCTTGAGGATGCTGCCCCAGGCCCCTCTGCTTGAGCGGTGAGCCTGGTAGCGGGCGCAAGCTCGAGTTTGGAACTGAACGGGTTTTGAACGCCTTGCTCCACACATGCAGCACCCCGCGCTCAATGACAACCCACTCAGCCCACAGCGCTAGAAGCACATGTATTGCTATTTGCGAGTTCTGCTAGGGGAGCTCCAGCAACGACAATCCCCTTCGACAAGTCAAAGCACGCGTCAGCTCGTGAAGCTTTTGCGGAATTAGTTGTGGGTAGAGTCTAGGAATTAGGGTGCAACGTATCGACTCCAGCGTACCAGGACACCACGGTCTTTACGAGAGTTTCTCAGTCGGCCTTAAGACCCTAAACCAACTTCTCCGAATGGCAGGGGCAGACACGGCTTATTCTTGCGATCGCGAGCCGGGCTCCCAACTCTCGAAAGGCTCCCCTAATCCCTAAACGGCCCTAAATCCTCTTCTGGGACGCGTGTCTCTTTGGGAATTCCTGCTCGGTTCCATAAAGCGGCTCCATCGTTCCCCTGGGTCCTCAACCCTGTCCGACTTTGCATGTGTTTGTCTTGCAGCCACTGCAACGAGCGCTGCGTGCTTTGCAGCCTTTGTGCTCAGAGGCTTTCCACCACAATGTAGGTTTGGCCTCTGGTGCTTGGGCCCTCGATCGCCTTGCAGCAAAGCCTGCTTGCCCGTCAGCTGACAGCAACCAAGAAACCAGGCAGAATTTCGTGCCAGAATTGCGTGTCGGTGCCTGCATCTGCCTGTTTTGCAGGCTGCGAAAGAGGATTGACAAAGGAGGCCCAGGCATTCGAGCAGCATCATGGTGCTGCTGCCTGCGGGAGAACAGAGGCTGCACTTGACTGGTTGTTGCGGTGTTAGATGTGTTGCCCTTGCAGCATATAGCAATCGAGCAATATACCGAGTTTGACCTCTCTTGTGGATTTAGAGTGCTGGCCCAAAGGTGCAAACAAGGATGCGCGGTCTGAATATGTTGGGCTTAGAGTGAGTGCTGACCGAGAATGTTCATACGCAAGAACGTGTAGAACTCCCATGGCTGACCGGATTGAAGACTGAAGTCCCCCAGAACCTTTTTGTTTTGGGAACCGTTCCAGGAATCTCACTCAATCCAGGGGAGATTAGATCTAATCACCGGAGGTTTTTGCAATTATTGAGAAAAGATAGTATTCTGTCTTGTCATCCAAAGCCATCTTGTCTTAACAGAAACAATGGTTTGCTGGACTGAGTCGATCCAGCAAAAAAACCCGCTTTAAACGGCCAAAGAAGGACAGCTACTGGGACAACCGATGCGACAGCTTCAATCAGAGGCTGGTTTCTTCCTTTTGTACTTCTACGGAATAGTTCTTTCATTGAACCAAGCCGACAAATGATTGTAGCTTAAAAGGTACGGTCATCCATAAAACGAAAAACGTATGGTGTTAGGCTCCTGCCAATCAGATACCAGTGCCCCCATCCTGAATTTGTAAAGAAGTGGTGACAACGTGAACCAGACCCAAGCAACAAAATCCAAACAGTGCTACAGTCCAAACACGGAGGTCAAATCAAGTTTGCCCACCTAGTTCTGAAATTAGCCCCACCTTTTGTGAGAGTCGAAAAACTCAATAAGCAAATTTATCCCCTACATGGAATACGCTCATGCCACATATACTGCTTTGTATGCACATACATGGCTTCGCTGCACGTTCGGCTTCTCATTTATGGAAGAAGTGGAGGCCTTGCTTTGTCAATGGCCGGGCATGTTGGAAGAGAATGAAGGACAGCCACTGCGAAAATGTATATATGCTACTCCCCTTGCTACCTACTGTACTTCTCGTGGTGTTTATGCCCGTTTTTCTACAGGTGCTATGGCGAATGGTGGCTTTGTCTGAACACAGTGTCAGAGATGATGAAGTTGCCAAGCGATAGACAGGAATACAGCATACACGGCATCATTGCATGTAGAGGCAAATGTTATTCGCTGACTTGTGTTCATGATGCATGGCCTCTAGCTTACATATCATTCCGTTTGCGAATCGAACTTTAGAACCCTGCTCTTACGATCGTTGAAATCACGTTCGTTGACCCCAAACACGTCTGGACGTCAGATGTATTGACGAACCCTTTCCTACTAGTATGTATGTACGCAGGTATATATGCGCATCCCACACTCCTGGGCAACACTGTTGCATGCTGGTCATTGAGTCATTGACGAGTCATGTGCTGTCGTCGACGAGGTCGCCTATGAAGGGGAAGAGAAGCCTCCAGACGGCATCGCCCCAAGTGCTTCCTCTGCTGGAAGATGTGTGGGAGTTCTTTGCAAGAAGGTCGTTGAAGATATCGGCTTCGGGCCTGCGCAGGCTGGTGCTTAAGCCGATCAGGTTACGAGGGTTTCGTTTGCGCCACTTAGGGACCATGTGCTTGCACGCCTGACAGATTGTCGCGGGAGTGCTTGGCGGCGGCATTTGGGTTGCGGATGGCTCCGAGCTACTCATCCTCGGAGTCTCGCCCGAACAGAACACTAGGTGAAGGCCTTTGGCCTTTTCCGGACCCGGAGGTTCCCTGACGGAGTGGCTAGAAGTGAGCACTGCATCGTAAGGCTCCGTAACCCGGGCAGCGCCTTGGCTTCACTTTTGAGATTTTGAGATGTGTTGCCGGGCTCCTCTCCTTCTCACCCCTGAGGTTTCCGATGAGATGCTCGGCTACATAATGCAGCTATCAAGCATGCACATCTAAGGGTGTACGAAATAGGGGATCGAAATACACCCCTAAATGGTACGAGCCTTATAACAAGCACCCCTAATTTCGGAAACCCACATCTGGGCCACTCAATGCCAAATCCAAGCTCACGTGTTCAAGATGAGGTGGAATCTGAATGGGTTGCAGCGCGGCCTGGTGGTCTCCATTGTGTTTGTAGGGATTCTGCTGGGCAACACCTGCAGTGGGCCGCTCCCCAGCTGCGTTGAATGTGCGCGCCGCAGTGCGTCAGCACTTGTCTCAATCATCGCAGTTCTTCGGTTGCCAGGCTTGGCGATGGACACTTCGCCGCAAAACCTTGCGTGGTTCCCCATAGAGCCATGTGAGTCATCGAGCGTGATAGAGCTCTTGCGAGCGTCCTTTGCAGCATCCACGGAATAGAGAGATGGCATCCCTGGAAATAGCACAGATTGTTGGAGAGAGGTGGTCGCTCTCAGGATTGGGCCGCAAGCTGCCCATTCTGCTGTCCTATTTGGGCATCGCGCTGTTCAGTGTTTTGTCAGCATCGGCCACAGGACAGATCGTGCCATTCATGCTCCAGAGTTCAAGAGCATGCTTTGAGCCATTTGCCATTTGACCATTGGAGCCCCCGTCGGCTTAGCATTTGAACTTCTTGCAGGATTCTGGTCCATGTCCGGCGTGCGCATGTTGGTGGGCTTCGCTTTCGGCCTTGGACAGCCAGCGTCGGAGTCTCACGAATTTGTAGTGCAGAGAGCGCGATGTTGTGCGGGCCCCATCGGGGCACATTCCTTCCCCCGATTGCTCAGGGCTACGACTTTACTTAATGTCGCTCGGCACCAATTTAGCCATGGATTTCACCCTCACCTGGACGTAAATGCTCTTATGGGCGTACGCTCGTGTACTAGTACCGCACCCACGTCTGGCCCCCTAAGGAAGTGTCACCAAGAAGGCACCTGGTTCGGCAAGAATATCAGCAGAAGTTGAATTAAGCCCCTACGCGTGTGTCCGGTTACACGTGTTGTGAAGATCGAAAAAGCTTCCACAAACCTGCTTTTGCCGTGTGTTCCTGAGCATGTTCAACGTCTTGTGCGCTATCCAACATGCAATGAGTGACCCCGCGAGAAAAGCGTCAGAGATACTTCAGGAGGAAGTTTCCGCCGGGGACTGCCTTTGGATTTGCCTGAGTTGCTTTGTCTGCTGGAGTGCCGGCATGGCATGATGTCACCTGACCCGTGGAAGCCCTTGAGTCATAGGTGATCCATGGAGCCTGTCTGTGGCGTCTGTTGACTGCGCAAGTGCTATCTTTAGGATTGTGGCCACACTTGCCATTCAACGTGCCACCATTATCGAAACGAACGTGCAGGCTTCAGTCGCGTCCACGCCTCTACTACTGCCGGAGTGGAACGTTCAGTTCTGCCTGTGGAATGCATGCCTTCGCGCACGGCTATTGACTATTGACTGCTCAATAGCTGTTATCTTCCGAGCTGGGTTTCGTTTGCCGTCCAGTAGTTTAGCGCTGATGCGCAGGCCGTAGTCACGTGCATGCCGCTCTTGTGCTGGAGTTTCACTAAAAGTGTGCGAATTGTTCTCGCATTGACACCCTGACAGAATGCTTCTTAATTAGTTGTTGGGCATGCGGGCCGGCCCCCTGGAAGTCGCATTGCCGTCGGTGGCTACAGTCCTTATGGTGGTGTTTGCTTGGCATGGGCTGAAGTGTTATCGGGCGCAGTGTTTGTCTCCACTCCCCTTTGTCTTGCACGAGCTGCCTATCAGCTAAGTTCGAGGCGGACAAGGAACGCGATGTCCGCCGTAAGCGGCCCGAATGTGACGGAGACAAATCATATCCGAACAAGATGTCAAGGATTGAATGTGTCTGGCCTGGGTAGTAGCATGGAAGAAGCGACTAAGCCAGCTAAGATTGCGGCAAAAAACCCTGCCCAGTATCTCGGAAACCCCTGCAAAGCGCCCAGCCTTGCAGAAGTAAAAAAACAGAGCACGTTAAATCATGTTACATAAGTTACATAACAACCCAAAAGCCTAACCCTTGCGGCTGCAGGTGGCGCTACATGCTGATCGGCCAAGCTATGGCTTTGTTGCTTGGGCTCAAAAAAGGGTTAGGGTGGCTGGAATGAAGTCCATGTTCCATCTGAATGGAAGGTTCTGCTTCGGAGAACTATATGCAGCGTGGCTGATCTGGCCGCTTGCCTTCAGATCTTTCTTCCAGGGCCTTTGGGCCCGGAACTTGTTTTTTCCAGTGGGCCCTTTTTGGCACCCTCAATCTGAGAAATATGATGTCGTTGATTACAATGTCATGATGAATTGTACTATATTATCATATAATATGATAAATTAGGAGAACATAAAATGATATAAAGACTACAATAGACCCCAGCTCCGGGCGCAGAGCCCACATGCTAAGTCAGGTTGGATGACCCGATGATGAAATCATTGGATTGGCGTGCCTGGGCAGCAGATGGCACGGGCTACATGCGTACCCCGATTCGGAGACGTCTTCAGAAGGATCGTTCCTTTTTCCGCTTGCCACCGCCATCCTCCTCCACCCCCGCCCTCTAATTAAAGCCCGCCGCCTGAAGCTTTTTCACACAGCAGAGGGTCACCGTCTCCGAATCAGGCGTCCTTGCAGATCATGATTTCTGAGTCAGGGCTCATTGCCAAATCATGGGTGCCTCTTCCTGGCGTGACCTGCATCGTTGGCATCAGGTTGGTTATGCATGGTGGGAGCAGTTCCCTCAATTGTGGGCCTGGTTCTCGGATACTTGTTCCTTGATGAGCCTCGGCTGCAATAACACGAATCAGCTCTGGTGTGCCAAAAATCATTGGGCGCTGTGAGCTGTTGTTGATGCTTGCGCCCAGGAGTCCCCTTCATATCTGGATGAGAACGGCTATCGCGAGGAAGCGTTGACAGCCCTCGAGTCATTGAAGCCCCTTGCGTTGCACTTGATGAAACTGCACGCGTCTCCTACGGTGCAAGCTGGGCGAGCCCCTGCGGAAGAGATACGTTGTGTGTGTACTCCGTATCTAGAATATACTGCCGCAACATGTTGTTTTTGTAACAGCCGGCTTGCTACGACCCGATTTCAGGTGAGTTTGGTGCTTGGGTTCCGGAACCAGGATTCCCTACCCCATCTCGGCTCTAAAACGGGGGAGAGGCAAGGGGGCGGTTGAACTCTCATTCCGAGGCTGGCGCATCCCCAAACCCCCATAAAGGGTCTCCGTCGACGCTTGACGCCAACTTGCGCGGAAGCCCGCGTGTCGATATTAAGGCCTGGACCTTTCCTTTTTAGTTCATGTTCTCGCGAGACGTCACGTCAGGTTTTGTAAGCTCAAGCACCATGCCAGAAAGTCCAACGCGACGCGTGTGGAGCGACATAGCATCGTATAGTTGCTCCAAGCATCCCAAATCCACACTAATCCCTATACATCCCATCGCGTACAGGCGTAGCTGTGTCAAGCAACCTCAGCCGGTAGGATATAAGGTCGGCGAATGCAGCCAGCAACTGTAAGTGCATAGATGACATATGCCGTCATATGCCCGATCGAGTTCACATTTTTCCGGCACCTGTTCAGCATGGTGAAATGTCATATCGTGAGCGAACACGGGGGGAGAACATTCGCAAGCAAAACGCAAGCACTCTGACAGCTGTGGTGTGTTATGCTGAGAGGTACCACAACATATGTTGCTTGAGTGTGAGTTGTTAGTTACTTGCGAGGTCGTTCTTGGCTGGTGAAAACGTGCAATTCTAACCACCACTCTTGCTTCGCTCACAGTTGCAATGTGTAGCGTGCTTTTGTTTGATGGATCCTTTTTTGGTTTTGATGCCTCCTGTTGCAGAATACAGGTCTTTAGATGGAGTTTGCTACGCCCAGGGCTCGCAATGGCGCGGTTAGCATCTCATGCGAATATGAGACGGCGGTGGGAGTGGCGCAGACGCCTGGCCGCACGGGCTTTGCAGCCAGTCCCACTTTGTAATCGAGCTTCTTGTGCGTCCGAGGACACCCAAGTCAGTGCGGGATCACGTGGTCACAATCTTTTCTCCATCCCTGTTGCTAAGCGCAGTATGCACGGACGTCCACGACGCATCCTGGCCTGACTTGCCACCACTGACCTCCATTGCGTCCCAAGGCTGCTGACTACCATCACCATGATGTACAGCTGCTTCATGTTGAATTTGGTGTTCTATGGAATCTTGGGCACCGTTTGGCATGGCCTACAAGTAAGACATCTTATCAGTTCAGCTATGTCCTGTTTTGGGACTGATGCACAGCTTGCCGAGGATCCCTGTATGCCTTCCCCCAAGTGCTCACCTCGGTGGGGCAACTTGGGGCCACTGAATCGGCTCTTGTTGCTTCCTGCGTGCCGGTGCAGAACCCTGCAGCCCAGGTGTTCACAGACTCCAACAACTCATCTCACAGTCCCGCAATGGTTCTCATGGCCCTGCTCCAAGCGGATGCGCAGCCAGCTGTGCAGTCTCAAGTTGCGTGGAGCCCTGTCGCCCAGATTGGAGCGATGGTCGAGTGGCCTGGCTTTCTGGGCGCGCCCATTCTGGAAAAGTTTATCACCGGCAAGGCCCCATATGACAACTGATTCTGCACGCGTAGCCACCGCCAACATACCTTTCCTCTACAGTTTGCTTGCTGGTGTTACGCCCGCACATGCGCAAATATGCTTGGCAAGAGCTGTCCGTCGGCACACGCCTGACCGCACAAGCACTTCAAGCAACATCTACCAGGACCTTAGACCTTTCTTTGCGCCGGAAGAGACTGAAGCATTGCAAACAGGCGTTCCTCCAAATGAAGTGCTAAGGAAGATGATGACGATGCATCTACAAGTTCACTCAAAAAATGCTCGCCGCATAACTACCATGTTCAAACACGAGTGACGACCCGCAGACCCACCATGATGGCAAATGGCCGCGAAGGTATTCTGGGTCCAAGGACACTGTTGCGCAAGTCCAGACGCGCCAATTTTTGGATTTGCACAACTTGGGTGCGTGAACATGCGAACCTTGTGCTCAGCTGATGTTTGTTTCGTGGTCGTTCCTGTCAGCCATGACATGGGGAACAGCATATCTGTACATTCGGATAGCGGTTCCCAAGTTACAGCCCTCAGAACATACCCCGAGGCGGAGTGACGACTCCGACTTGGTAAGGGTGGGCCCAACACCTGTGTGACGATCCCTACCTCGCGCGCTGCACAATTCCAAGCCACCACCATCCCTGCAATGTGTTACAGGGAAACCCGGCCATGCCTGGAGCTCTAAACTCAGTCTAAACTCAATAATGAGCCTGAAGCTGGAAAGGGAGAGAGAGAGAGAGAGGTAGGTTGTGTCGCAACAGCGACAGCTGCGCCAAGCATGGTCTGCCCTAACCAGCAGCCAAACCAACCAAGCCGCCGGCACCAGAGACAACAACGAGCAGGCCGCCTAGACGTATACTGCTGACCAAGCGGCGAAGCACCATTTCCAACACTCGAACTGTTTTCTGGGCCTATATGGACAGGATTCGGGGATGAGAGTTGCAAGCACGCTGCACCTAGAGAAAGGGCCACAACCCGACCCCAGCCGGGCACCTTCATGTCATGGTGAATGCACAAACACTACTCGTAGGAGGCACACGAAACCAGAAAGACTCAGGACAGCAGCTCCAGCCCGAAGGTGACCTGGAAGATAAAGGTTTATAGTTTACATGTTATATTCTTCACCTCACTGAAGTCCCTCAGTCAGAGCGCCAAAGCCTAGTGCTGCCGAAGGGTGGGAAGCGCGGCCCTCGCTAAATAAGGGGCAAGGTGAGACGAACCCTCTATGAAGAAGGCATGAGAACGCTGGGCATCTGCAGGTCCTGCAGCAATGCAGCCACTAGGCCTAAATACCAGCCCTTGAGTCACTCACAGCCCTGAGCCAGCTTTGCTGTCAAAACCCAGTCTCCCTCGTATGCTCATAAAGATGAGAACTGCTGCCAGACGATGATGCTGTGCAGCTCGTCTTTCTGCGCGATCTCACTTTTATCCTTGGTGATTGGTGCCAACGGACATGGCACGCTGTATGGACACTTGGTTGCAGTCGCCTCACGGAGCCGTCTCCGCGTTCCACACCTCACTTTTCCCAGGCATGCTGCTTCAATTTGGTTTTATAGGCCGGAGCCTGGAGAAGAGCCTCTCTAGTCCTGGTGCATTTTTGAGTCTGCATTTTTGCAGGTGTGTGTGTGTGTGTGTGTGTTCTTGTTAGCTCGTCCTGCGCTGCGCATAGCGAATCGCGATGGATGAGGCATCAAGACGACGATCAGTATTCTCTTCGCGGCTCCACTGCACTTCGACACGAGGGGGGGGGCGACAGCATAGGGCCATGGAGCAGCCTGGTACCAGTACGTGTGGATTCTAAGGTCACTGCCTACACCTTGGCATCTTCAGCATTTCCAACTGCTGCTCGAACCACTGGAACCGTGGCCTGGCTCACTTAAACCCCACAAGAGAGGCCCTTTTTTAGGTCGAAGGTTCGATTAGCTCCTTTCTCATAATTCTTCGCCCCCCACCCCCCATCACATGCTGTGCACTTTGCAGTCCTGCACTCCTCTGGCAAAGCGAAACAGTAGTTACCAAGTCTCTGCAGAAGGGGCAGAGGCAGGAGGATGTCAGAAGCAGACTGCTGCTCTGGGGCGACCAGTGTGCTGGCCACTTGCAGTGTACAGGCTGCAGACGACAGTGGGCTGCCGATACCACGTGGTAAGCCCATTCGCGTAAACGGTTGTTGGACTGCACCCCCGTAAGGTTGCACGGGCGCTGTCTCGGGTACTCCTGAACTCCTAAACTCCTAAACTCCTAAACTCCTAAACTCCTAAACCTCCTAAACCTCCTAAACCTCCTAAACTCCTAAACTCCTAAACCCTGAATTTGCTGGGACTCGCGGGATCCACTGAGGCTGCCTGCGTGGCGGCCGGACGTGTTGGAGGTATCCTGGCTCCTCTGATGTTTGAACAGCTGCGATACGCCTTCGGCGGTGGCTTTGGCAGCATGTGGGGAGTTTTCGGTGTATCTTTCTTACCCTAAACCCTAAACCCTAAACTTGCCTGTGGAATGCCCCTCACATGATTGGTTTCACTGTGCGAAGTCATGCCGATGTAGCTGTCGGGGCTTAGGGGGGTGTCTACTTAATTCCGATGCTCCCTTCACTTCCTTCCCCGAAACCCGACTGACTGACTGCTTGGCCTGAGCTTGGCATGCTATAGATATCCAGTACAGTGTTTGACGAGCGGACCGACGGACCTTTGCCTGCCTTGTGCGAGAGTGAGCGACTAAACCCGAAACTTTCGTCTTCAGGCACCCGGGGGCTGCTAGTTTTTAACAAAACTGTCCCCCCTTTTTGGGGGCAACCTCTTTTCTACGAGGGCCAAAAGCTTAAAGAGCACCCCTGGCCTTTACTGCATCTGCCAAGAAGACGCCGGAAAGAAAAAGAGTACCCCGGAGGCAGAGCACAGCTGAGGTTGGGAGCCATTCTTCCTTGTCCTCGCAGGCTTCCTGTTGCTGAAATAAGTTGGTGTGGTTCTAAGATTCTAGTAGAACAATATGATGATAGCACAGTGGAAATAATAAGAAGAATGGAGTATAAGCATTCAAGAGTACAGGGATCATCTAAAATGTAGAAATATGTAAAATTACATATTATGTCGTTACAACGTGCACAGCTTGCATTCCACAAGTCCCCCGCACTGTTCACCACCCTCGCTCCTGGCTGCCCAGCCTTGTGAGCTTGCGGCAGACCGTCCGGCCTTTTACAAGCCTTCGCGGGACTCGAAAAACGCGGTCTCGTATGCTCGTCATGTTTTCTCCCAGTCAGACAAGCAAAGCAACGCAGCAGAAGGCGGCTACCTCCTCAACTTTTTGGTCGTAGTGGCTCGGCACAAATCTAAGAAGCACGGGAGACTAAGAGCAACACGACGTCATCTAAGTGCCCGCTGAAGCTGGATGCGGAAGAAGATGGGGATGGCGAGAACCTGCCGTTGGTCAGCCTCTAGGCTGCATTTGCCCAGCTCCTTCGGCGTCTCTGCGCTGCCTGCAAAGAGAATTGCATCTCAGGTTCAAAACCGCCGTAGATGACTCAAATCTCGAAGAGCAGCAAGAAGCCTTCATGGACACAGCCTGCTCCAAGGGGAAAAAGCCACGCTTGTCCCCTGCAGCTTCCCATTGCAGACCTGAATGGGAGAGTTGGACCTGAGTTGGAAAACCCGAAACCCTAAACCCCAAACCCTAAACCCTAAATCATGGCCAATTCCCTGCCATGTGGACGTGCAGTTCAGCTATGCGGGCGGCAAAAGAACCTTAAAACCTAAACCCTAAACCCTAAACGTTTTGCTCAGGGGCTTTATGGACATGGCGGTGTCAGAGCCCCTGCCTCAGAGGAGCACAGCTTTCCTTCTGCAGCTTGCGCTGGGACCCCTGAGCAGGATCTGCAATTGCTTGGATAAGGGGGGGGGGGGGGGGGGGGGGGGGCAAGAATTAGACTGCTGGGTTCCCCCGATGGAGTCCAATGCCTGTGCGCGAGCTACGGGGCTACAGGTCCACAAGTAAAAATAAGTCTTCATGCGCGGCCCAGTCCGAAAGCATGCTGCATATGCCGTGGCTGAGGCATGACAAGGGCTCCTGTGTGCTGCCCAGAAGGGGTATGTACGAGCGCATGTCCTTCGCAGCAGAAGCGGTTTTCATCTGATCTGAGGTGCGGACTTTGTGCGCCTGATTGAAGGCATCCAGTTTATGTCCCGTTTTAGTCTGAAAGGGAGCGATGATAAGCGAGGGCTTGGGCAAGATTTCAAATGCTTCCGTGCGCATGATGCTCGGCAACCTGTTGTGCCCCGCCTGGACCAATGCATTGCATGGTTGACGTGCCTTCTTACAGTGTGCGCAGGCAACTGATGATGCAGGTCGACGGCAGCAAAACCGTTGCTGTCTTTGAGATTCAGTTTTCCGTGTTGATCCCTTTGTCTCGATCTACTCGTTCCATTATGCGTAGAGAGCACCAATCGCACGGCGGGCTGTGATGCCATTCAATGGAATGACCTCTCGAAGCAGCAGTGCGAACCACGGTGTGCGAGGCTTAGTTGCTTGGACCACCCACTCACCCATTCAGAAAAGCAGTGTACACATCGTAGTAGTAGACGAGACATGGTTGTTCTGGAATGTTTTGGAGGGAAGCTGACATTTGGGTTTCAGGCTGGGTGTTCTGCTTGTGTTCTGCACGGGAACCGATCGCTGAACGACTGGGGCCCCGGCTGCAAAACGACACATCTCGGACCTCAGCAAGAGCAGCGCCCTCGACATGCCTAGTTGCAGGCTGTAAAACCTCCTCATGCTACAAGCAGTGCCTTGAGACCAGTTTTACACCACCTTGTGGCTGTAAACGCCTGGCAAGTCAAGCCTTGTTTGCCCACGCAGCACCATCGTGCACGCTTGCAGATAACAAGATTGCCACGCAGAAAAGGCATGTGTTTGGCATACTCTGCTGCGAACACAGAATGAGCGCTGTATGATGCCCGTCACCGCCACCACAGCAGCAGCAGCAGCAGCAGCAGCAGCAGCAGAAGACCAGCGTGGAACGTGTGTTATTTTCGTCCAGCCCCGATCTTGCTAAAAGGACCCCCTAAAGGAACCCCTCTTTGCGCGAGCTTTGCCTTGATTTTGCGGCCTTTGCGCGAGGGAGCTCGAAGAAACAGGCTGGGGTTCACGGAGGGTTCACAGCCGCCCCATCCCATACTCGCGTGCAGGCAGCTACACAGCGGACAACGTGGTCCCCCCCCCCCCCCGCCCTAAAAAGAAGTACAACAGGGTAATCGCCTATTCCTACCTCCTCTCCCCCTCTCCCCCGACCCCGCTCCCGAAACAACCCCATATATGAGGGAATTCTATAAAATTCTATAATATATAATAATATTCCATAATATTCTATAATATTCTATCATATTCTATCATATTCTATCATATTCTATCATATTCTATCATATTCTATAATATTCTAGAATATTCTAGAATCTTCTACTATAACATTCCATATACCACCTCTCAGGTCCACCTGCACGTCAGTGACGTCAGTGTTTGCTGGGCTCGTTGGCCACTTTGACCCGGCCCATGATGCACATTGCTTATTCGCTTGAGACACTCGTGCGAGCCTAATTCAGGCCTAATTCAACGTACAGTGGCTCAGCGGAGGACAGGCCTCGCACGAGAAGCTATCCACAATGTGAAGCTTTGCTTGTCGCGGAGCTCTGCAATCGCTTAGCACAGGTCCTTTGACCTCAAAAAGGATACTGGAAGGGGTCAGAGTTGGGCAGAGGCTTTGTTTTCTCTCCCTCATCCTAGTTGAGCGCACGAGCTCGTTCAACAGACTCCTTTAACGCACAACTTGACTGCAAACTGGCCCTATCCAGAGGCAGTGAGCCAAAGTGAATCAACATACTGCTGGGACTGGGATATTGGGGTATTCCTTCTTTCTTGCATTGCAAAGGCACTCAAGATCTGAAACTCGAAACTTGAAGCCCAGCAAATGCCACTGCGGCGGCGCGCTCAAAGATTGTATGCAATAGTATATTGTATAATTTGTACAGAATTTTGCGCCAGTGGTGATGGATGACGAACGCTTCCGGACATCGCCACGGTGCAGAGGCTGAATTCACCATGTTGGCAAAGACACAGCAATTCCCAGGCTTTCGGCATTGCAGGCCGCGAACAGGCTTTCCTGTCATTTGCTAACCGTCCATGGCCTGGCCATTTGTTGCCGGCCGTGGATGCGGATGCGAAGCCTGGCTTGTTCTAAATGTCTAAACTAATATTACTATTATTCTTTGTTAATGCTAGTCATATTGGTAATACTATTCTTATTAAGAATGTTTTTAATGTGAGAAATCCCTGCGCAGATTGTGCCGACGGGTCACGGAGTGTATTGTGACTCGGCTAGATTCGGTCAGGACCGCCCCAACAGGCTCTCACACAGACGTGAGGGAGTGCGGTGGAGTACAGTATGGAACAGAGCGGACTGTTTTGCCCATAGGGGGTTGCTATGGAGTGACCACACAGCGGTTGCACTGGATGGTGGGTACAGCTGGCTGAGGGTTTAGGGTTCAGGCTTGTCACAGCAAGAACAAGACAGGAAGATGCCCTGCAAGCACAAGCCGTCCTAGTTGTGGAACAGGACGTGCCGGAAGTTGAGTTTTTCAGTGCCAAATGGGTGGAGCCTCGTAAAAATCCAAGTGAAGCCTCCCGGCGTGCTTTCTCAAAGCAGTCCAGTAGTAGCTTAAGTAGAGCAGAGTTCCTCGTAATCCTAAATCCGTGCCTCCTTGAATTCACGCCGGCCTTGAGCTCCATGGTTTTCCCTGACATGCCCCTTGTGCGAGCTGCAGTGTATTCTCACCGTAGACCGCAGTGGCGCCTCAGTGTTTCTAGCCTGTCCCAGCGCTGGCTGGGCTGGGCAAGCAAATCGGCGCAATTTTTCAGAGGCCAAGTGCACACTTAGCCTGGCGACCTGGCCATTGACGACTGCTCATGCAGATTCAGCCTCCCCACTGGCAGGTGGCACTTTGCAAGTGTAATTTGCCCAGTGGTCCAGGCTACCTTGAACGGGCTGCCACAGCCTGCACGACCTTACATTCCAAGTACAGCTTTCAAACCATGATAGCTTGCGCTTACCATATTCGAGCTGTGAGCCGCATTTGAGGGAAGGCTCCACAATGCAGTCACGTGCATTGAGTGACTGTGCGTAGTTTTCAAGTCTGCGCACCTCTGACCTACTGACCTATGCTGCCGGGGCTGTTGCAGCAAACGGCTGGAGCGTGAATGCTGCAAGACTGAAGTGAGATGAAGCATAGACGATAGGCATAGTTGTTGCCAGGCACAGGCAGCTAAACAATGCCATCGTGTTTTTTTGCAGACTGCGGGGGCGCTGCGACCTTTGAATCGCAGTAGCTTCTGCCATCAGTCAATGAGTGGCGCAGGTTGGCCCCTTGTCAGCAGCGCACTGCAGCATCTCCTCTACGCCTCTACGCGCTGGGCCCGTAAAGTTGCAGCGAATTTGTGCCCGCAAGTTCAGATGCCGGCGAAGCTTCCTGCCGTCCTCTAGACCGCAATCGGTGATAGCGTGGCTTGGTGGAGTGGTGCTTGTGTTTCTCTTGTGGTCCTTGAACTTCTTGAGTGGTCCTGCGGCAGTCTGGCATGTCTTGTGCGGGCTTGGCGAATCTACAGCCAACAGGTGCAAGTTCCTCATACGCAGTGCGCGTGGGAAATTGGAATCGGGCGCAGAAGCTTTGACTTTCTGAGCATAGGTCGTTGAAGGTTGTCGTTGCATGATTCTTGCTCCCTAGAAGCTGCTCCTCCTGCCTGGCTCAAGCTGTCCCAGCTTTGCTTCACGCCCTGCAAACCCATGCCAACCGCGAGAACTCCAAGGCAGCGACGTGACTTGGAGTGACTTAGAGGTTGCACGTGCCTAGGAATTGAAGGGTTCCGCGTCGGAAGACCTTCCGAAGCTGCGCATGGTGAACACCAGAGTGCCCGGAGCCCATGAAGGCTCAAATCCTAGCCATGGCCTCGTGGATTCGGCACAGCGCTGCTTCTATGCAGATGAGAAGGGGCCAGGGCAGCATGTCTCTGAGCCTTGCTAACCCTAAACCCTGCCAAGGTTTATGTGGCACTGCTGCTAGGCCGGAGATGTTTTCAGAGCAGCTCAGCATTGCACATGTCATTGCAAAGGGGCATCAGAGCCGCGGCAGGCACAGCACACGCCCTGACACATGGATGCTTGAAGTTGGATTCCATTACCATGGATAAGATGCTTGCCGTCCCTGGCCAGAGTTTTTTCGTGAAGCTTCCCAGATGCACCAGCTATGTGAGCCTGTGTGGCCGGCATCATTGACCATGGTTTAGACTGACTTTGAAACTTGCCATCAACCAGGATTGACGAACCATACTCGCACGGCACCCACCTCAGCAAAGACGTGTAGTAGCGCTGCAGCTGAAGGGATGACATTTGATAGCACCCGTGTGCTTGCCGTGGACCACCCATTTGTGTGGACTCAGGCGAGAGCCCTGGCCTCTATAGACCTACGGTCTCATGTCCAGAGCTGTCGCGATTGAAATGTGTCTTGATTCTTCTTGAGTACAGAAGCCATGTTTCATTGTCTTATTCACCGAGGAAGGCCGATGCTTTCCGAACTGTTTGCCAGCTGGCATATGCTGTCCCGAATTTCTTTGCTGCTGAAGTCCCTGTTCAGCGCTTCAACCAGAAAGAGAACGATGACGTGGCAAGGATGCACTAGGCTAGGCTGCGCATGCACTGCATGCACCAGTACAGCACATGTTCACCTTATGCATCACCTGGGGCTCAGGTGCGTGAGAAGCTCAACCTCACCCTGGATGACTTCCCGGCCTTTTTCCTCTTCATGGCCCCTTGGGCTAGCCCTAGTTGTCCTGCATGAGGCTGCAGCGTTGGGATGACCTTGTGATCCGTCTGATCATCTGAGGACGGCGCAGGTGAGGGAATCCGTTATGCGGACGCAGCGCAAGCAGCCAACATGATCAAATGGCTGTGGCTTGGCAGCGTCGCGTTCATACTGTCCACATTCATCATGCATGCCATTTCCTGTATGACCGCCTAGTCGCTCACGCGGCATTTCCATGCCTTCGATCGATACAATCGACGAACTGGACGAAGTGGTTCTTGACTTCCTCAATGAGCCCAGTACTAGGCACCTGATGCGTCTTCGGTGCTCATGTTGGCTTGCGCTGAACTCGGCTTCCCCATCTTAGTCATCCTGGTTCCAGGCATGTAGACAGAGCAAGGGAGCTCGAGCAAAAGTATCGAAATGATGCCAAAGCGCCAATGCAGCTTTTGCGCACGAAGAAGGGTCTTAGGCAACAGCCAGTATGCACGCACAAGGCTTGTGGGTTTGTGAAATACGTGTGTGGTGCATCATGAAGGTATACCAAGATCATGGAAAAGAGCTTGGCTCAAGGAACGAGCTATGCTGCCGATGAAGTTGCACGCGTGATGAAGATTTTGGAGGGCAAGGCGTGTATTGCCCAAACAGGTTCTTCATCAAAAGCATCCTGCGCAGCTGCCCTTCGCGCATGACTTCATGGCTGCATCAGGTACATCCCCAGAAACGGGCAGAACTGAGCGACAAGTTGAAAGTCCTGTGCCTCGGTACGTCGTGAAAGTAGGCAATTCATCCACACCGCAGCCAGTGCATGCAACCTGCAAGGAAAGTCTTTGCAAAGATGGAGGCTTGTGACGTTTTTCAATGTCCGGCTGGCTATCAGAAAAAGTTTGACGCAGCAGGCCGTCATGGCTCCAGACCTCCAACAGTATGCTGAGACCCAAGCTCTCGCGCTCTGGGCAGGCATCATTGGATCCGATGAGGCAACATGCTGCAAGCCGCCGTGTGTGAATACTGAAGGCAACTGGGCATCATCTCTTATGCTTTCTTGTCTTTGCACATCCTGCCATTTTGTGCAAATGAATATAGGTGGCCAATCTGTGCTGCGCCAGGTGATGAGCATGATGCCCAGGGCCACCACTGCGATTACTACGATGAGCGAACAGCTCCGGAATGCGGCAGTGCCCTCGGCAATCAGTCCACGAGCCTCCCTAACTCCGATCCTGACAGTCTCCACATTTTTGCCGATGCAGCCACCCGCAGAATCTTTTCTGAGGAGACTGGGACACTGGAGCATTCCGTGCCAGCAGGATGTGCTGTGCCTGTGGTGGCGGACACGTCAGGATGCCTGAAGCCGAAACTTGAGCCATTAGTGGCAGGTTCTGCCGAACGATTGTAGATGTTTGCAGTACAGTGCGGCACATTGTACAGGTTGTACAGAGTTTGTAAGCAGCAGTACCACCACCAGTCAGCCATCAAGAGCTGACCTTAGCAGACGAGCTCCGCCAACCGGCAACAAGCCTGCCATTGGTGGGTCTCAATTGAAGCGTGCTTTCGAGCTCTGGCTGGCAAATCACTCACATTGGTTGCTAAGCCATTGTCATGTCGCCTGGTCGACGTTGTCCCAGTAGGCTGTCGCTTCAGTACCTCCTCACGGCAGGCCCTCATGCTACCGTTTGAACATTCATGCAACTTGGCTGCTGGGTGAGGGGGGGGGTTCTTGGTGCACTTCGGGGGCAATATCACGAGATTTCTGCATGCAAAGCTCCCGACATTTTCCAGACACTGTTGCTCCAACAGACCATCAAACTGACATGCCGAAGGCCTTCACTCAACAGCAGGGCTTGCTTCGCCTCCTCATGCGGTTACATGAGGCCATGTGCCTCACGTGCAGTCGGTCTAAGTGCTGGATGCTGTGTCTTTCATGTTTTCAGCTGTTGACATCGGACAGCCGGATGTCAAAAAGACTCATCGTGTCAATCGACAGATTGGACTTGTGTTGCTGCTGCGCGTTGGCACATCGCGGGAAATCAGTGCATGGTTGTGGGTACACAGTCCGAGCGATAGGCAATGGGAATTGAACAGCAGTCGATGCCGGGATGAAGTGCAGATGGTTTTCTTCAAGCGCGAAGAACCACGGTACAGGCGAACCTAGTGACCTTTGTGTAATTACTTCTAGCGCGTTTCTGTCCCTAAACCCTAACCCCTAATTAAAAAAAAAAAAAACTCTAGACTTTGGCCGGAGCTGCCATCAATGCCGCCCTCGTTCCTCGGCCCTGGTTTTGCAGACAGCGATGGCTGCAAGCTGGCTCAAACAGCGAAAGGAGCTTGCGAAGCTTGGAGCGGAATATGCCCTAAACCCTAAACCCTAAACCGTGATCTTCCGTTGGAAGGCAGAAGGCATGAACCGTCATGTCCTGCACTGCAAACTGCAAGCATGCACTGAGGATACTACTTGCCGACGCCCTGCCCAGGAACAGGGTGGAAGTTGTTTTTTTGAGTGCCTTGGTGAGTGCTTGTTGAGTGCGATGACAGAGGAGTCCCACACCTTCGCAACCTGAGCGAGAGCGACGCCTGCGAAAAGGAGTTTCACGAATTCTTGCCATTCGACGCTTGGCTTGTGACCAGTGTAGAGACAAGACAAAGCGCACATCGTTGTGGACAACAAAGACGGGTTGGACAAGTTGTACTCATCATCGTCGTGTGTATCTGAGTCTCACTGTGGACGCGTGCTGTCGGATGCAGGAGACGAAGTCCGTCAGAATTCACAAGCTCCAGTTGACGACTCGGATGCCGAGTTCTTCTTCAATGAAGTGGCAGGAGGCTGTCATTGATTGTCATTGAACCTTTTGCCACTTACAGCTTGACAGAAGACATGCTATGCAGAGGAGACGATGCCCTCGTCGATGCGGCTACGCCACCACTCATGGAAGGTGAAGATGCCACAATGCCGCTGCTTTGGGGTGAGGGCGGAGGACGCTGCAAGTGTCGGTGAGCTGTAGCGGGAATCGTTACGTGCGGTACCGCAATGACTGCGCATGCCGCACATGCCACGCGAAGGACAATCCATCGAGCTTGAGAGCGACTTGTTTTCACAGGAACAGGAAGCAGGCCCACCAGTAGAATACGATGTTAGTGCTTGATCCAAACAAACAGCCACGCAGCCTGCACAGATTCGCCTGGCAGCTATTGTCCCAGTCCGGCATCCAAAAGCCATGGGACCAGCATGAGTCGGACGGTGAGCCCCTCCTTTGCGGCAGGCTTTTTGTTGCGAGTCTTGAAACACGAGCCCCTAGTCACAAGCTGCTTTGGACATGCGAAAGGCATTCTTAGATCACGGCGGGTATCTGTGGACTTGAATCAGTCAGTACCCAACACAGCACCTCGTCTGGCAAGTCTGAACTTTGTGCTGCGACACATGGGCACGAGATGCACCGAGTAATTATAAGGATGGTGAAGTCATCGACTTCCTCGAGAGACGACGCATGGTTGCTTTGGGAACCTTCATACTCAGAATGCTCCTTGACAGCATTCCTCTTCCTGGCTTGCGGAGTCTCCCTAGACTCGACTCATCCCATCAAGAGTTCATATTGGGATGTTCCCCCTTATACTAACAGTCCTTAACAGGGATTATAGAACCCCCACTATATTCCCGATTAAGCACCTGCTAGTATATGGGAGAACATCCCCAAGTACATAGTATGTGTCCGCGACACTTCGCAGGTGGCAGAGAAGCGTCTTGACGGGAGATGTGGTCGCTCCCGCCCGTGCAGAGCTGAAGTTGATCACGCAGGCAACCCCGCTTCACCTGCGATTTGGCAGACTTCTCTTGACTTTGGCATAAAAAATGTGTGTGTGTGTGTGCATTTTGCTGTGGAGGTACTGCAGCTCCCGGATCCTGACGAGACAGCCGCTGTAAGCGATTGCCGGTTCCTGATCATGACGGAGGAGCTCGCAGCCGTGCTTTGGGAGCGTTTCACGCACTTCCGCACCCTCGGGGTGCCCTCCCCTCGGGGCTACCTACCCTAAACGTATTGAATAGCCCCATAAATTCCCATTGAATAGCCCCCATAGATGCCTATAACAAGTGCACGTGGTACATCTTCATATTGATAGACAATTTCCATTTCAAGTCATTTCAGGTGATTGCCCGCACGGTGACCATGGAGAAGAAGAGCCTGCCTGCAGCGGCTGGGGGATGGCTGCAGACACCGAAAGATCGCTTCAAAGAATGGGCCTCGTCGCAGCATCTGCGTAGGCTTTTGGGGGTTTAGTAATGTAAATTAGGTTTGGGGTTTAGGGTTTAGGGGTTTGGGGTTTAGGCTTCCTTTCATGCGTGGAAGTTGAGAGATGATCGCCTCAGACCGGCATCGAGGCATCCTACTTTGTAGAGGTGTCGACGGGCTGCCGCACGATGCAAAGGGAGGCACTGCTTAGAAAGGCTTAGTTTCAGGTTCTGAGGGGTTTTGGTTCGTGACGCGTGTGGTCTGCAGGTGAGGGCCTGGGTGTCCCGGAACCAGCTCATCAACAACGGACCCTGATGTTTGGGTAAAGACACAAGGATGCAACCTGCAAACTAAACAGAAAGTTCAATGGCAGGATCCATTCCAGAAACGCCGCGCGAAGCAACCTTTGAGCACAGAGTGAGGATTGTCGACGCTTGTCTGGACCAAATTGCGCAAAACTCTCAGATGACATTGCACATGGGGCTAAGCCACAAATGTCAAAACTGTCCGAGGACTTCTGGTATGAGTATCACAAGGACAGAACGTGTAGAGTGCAGCAGCCTGAATGACAAGAGCAATGACCCACTTGAATGGAGCAATTTCTTTGCAGTGCCCCCTCTTTGGGGGGGGGGGGGGGGGGGGGGGGCGAGGGTTTTCCAGATGTCCAGCGCATCATGCAGGACGCATGGAACACCTTGCCCTTGTCACTTGGAAAAGAAATTAGCTGCAGCGAAGCATAACAGCTCCGCAGTTGAATGAATTATTGTTGTTTCTTTGGTTCCTTGATATGTGTAAGGAGAAGCAACATTGGCAGGACTGACGCGCCAGCATGCATCTTCAGTGCTCGTTCGGCATGTCACAGCACGGAACAGCGCAGAAGAAACAAAGCAGATCCTCTAAACCCTAAACCCTAAACAGATCCTGCTGGGCGAGGAGCCACTCGGGAGCACCTTCTGGCAAGGCTGGCCCCACTGTCAGCAGAGTTCCTCCCACAGAGGTCTTCTGACCATCACAGTGCCAGGGTCAGAAGGCCTCCACCACCATCCCTTACGGTACCACCTTGTCGCGGCAGCCATCACTGCGCCACCAGCCCAGAAGATTAGAAGAGAGTTTGCCAGAAAAAGCCATCCAGTCCTGACATTGTCCATGTGCCCAAGGACGGACACTGACAAAGTCTGATTCAGCTTTGAAGCTCTCCAAATCGGGCAGCGCACAACTTCTCAAGCTGCCCTCTGCTACACAGCTGCATCTGAGAGCAAGGGTGATGAGGTAGGGTAGCAAAAGGAACCTTTTTCGGGGGCCAATCTGCAAGCATGGTACCCCAAAACCTTCATATGATGATAATGGGGACCCAGAATGGGCCCAGAACCCAGATCAACCCACACATGTACAATATTGTACAATCAAGGTCAGCAATCCGGCTCGGGAGCGGTATCTCAAGCAATGCAATGGCCGCACGATGACTCCCTTGCCCATTCCCTTCATGAAGCTCGGATGACATCATGGCCCGCACACACGCTGAAGGTAATTGCTGCACTAAAACCCTAAACCCTAAACCCTAAAGCCAAAGGGAGTTGCTGCAGGATTGGGGAAACGCGAGATCTGGATTTGGCTCGCCTTGGCTTGAGCGATGTGGAGCTCATGGCAGCTTGGAAGAGAAGATTTGGGCTGGGGTTTAGGGTTTTAGGGTTTAGGTTTTAGGGTTTAGGGTTTGGGGTTTAGGGTTTAGGGGCAGCAACCTGTGAGGAAGGATGCCGCTGCCAGTTTGACCGAGGCTATCGCGGACACGTTGCCCACAGTCGACGCCGTGCGGAAGGCGGCATCCTCGCAGTGTGTGAAAGTTGGGTTTAGGGTTTAGGGTTTAGGGCTTAGGGTCCCTAAACTGCTGGTGTGCTACTAGGCTGTAGGCGATTTGGTGCTTCTTAGTGTCTCTTAACGGTCGGTCGGGCATCAATCTGAAGAAAGGTCGCTGCACGTGGTCACATCCTCGTCTAGGTAAGTGCTGCTGAGGTGTTTGACAGAGGCTTCGCATGGTCGCTTGTTATACCACGACCGGGATTGTAGCCTCTTTTGAGACTCTTGCTGAGATTGGGCTTCGAGTGCCCGTGGCAAAAAGAGCCGGGTTGAAGGGCCGGGTTGCTGTACCGTCTGGCCTTCCGGACAATGTCATAGAGCAAGTTCGAGATGATCAGGTCGTTGCCCAGTTGGAAGTCGTTCCTGACCAATGTGTCCAAATGGCAGTAAAGGTCTTGTCGGAGCAAACCTTATGCTTCAGACCTGTTTGGCCAGAGGGCAGTGGCGCATCAGCTGTCCTATTCGCATTCACATCGGCCATCTGTGCTCCTCAAGCACGAGTCCTTGCGAGAAGTGTCCATGTTTCAGTGTACTGACGCCGACCTCAGCCCATGCATCAAAACAGGGGGCTGTCGCTGCGAGGGCAGATGCAGAAGGGTTTCGGGGGCTACTTGAGTTGGTTTTCTCCACTGTAATAGAAAGTGGGCAGGTGGACTTGCATGGCAATGCCCTCCTCAGCAACTCGGCCGATCGAGCAGCGACATCGACTGCCGAGCCAGAATACTAGGACCCATGAGACTTTTGTTTTGCCTTAACTTGGTTTTTTAGAGGAGCTTGTGTGCAAAACTAGGAATATTTGCGGGTTGGTGCCCGTATTATTTTGCCAGTGAGTTCGGTGCCCTGCCGTGATCCGGGCGGATACACAGAAGCCTGTAGCAACAAAGAGGCCAACCTGCAGTAGAGTTGAGACAAGGCGACCGCTCCTTGGGACAGCTCCTGCGCAGCTTACAGATCCCGAGGCTCGCCGAAGCCTCAGGTCAACGTCGGAAACTGACCTTGGGAGTCACTTGCACTGCGGGACTTCGGGACTCCCAGTATGGATGTAATATACAGTACTTACATTATAGCTACATTATAGTTATGTTATAGTTATATTATCGTTACATTATAGTTACAGTAAAGTTACATTATAGCTATTTTATTCATACGTCACATCACTTAAGGCTTCCAGCTTGCTGGACTTGAGCCTCAGCGGCTGCTCCCGGGCTGGATCCCAAAGTCTCGCTTGCAGCTTGGGTGCCATCAGCGCGTATCGGACTGTTCAACAGGGTTTAGGGTTTAGGGTTTAGGGTCGATCTAAGGCATCATTTCTTTACTCAACGACGCCTCCTACCTTCAGCGGCTTGTTTTGGCCTCAGCCACATCCAGCGAGAGCACAATCCACTGCTTGCCCAGAAGGTGCACTGCCAGCATCGTACAACTTAGGATCTGAGCCATGTAGAGGTGCACCACCGCTACCAACTGCCATTGTGCGATGCCATCAGTGAGAAAGAGACCCTGACTTATGCAGCTTGGCACCAGTTCACCATTGCATGGCCCAATGGTACGATGTGTAGGTCAGCCGGCCCAAAAAGTCGCAGGCAGTTAACACCTTGTGTTCGTTGGCTTGGAATCTGATGCCCTCTGCAAACCCCACACACACGCATCTGAGGTCAACCTCAGCAGAACATCCTTGGGGTTTTTCGGCCCGCACTTCAGCAGTTCCGCAAGGCTACACAAAGCACCTTGTCACTGGACTGGACAAGGTGGTTGGCAAGCCGAAGCACAGCTGAGGAATGGACCCATTGACCACGGCTGCCAGTGCATCGCCACACTGCTTCAGGGCCATGCTCCTCGCCTAAAGTTGGCCGACAAAACACGGGCATGCACCGACTTTTGAGTGCTTTGGGCGCTTCTTCGTTACATCTAGAAATCACCGGAGATATGAGGGCGAGTGGCAGGACCCCAATCGAGGCGTTTAGATGTCAGGCTGCAAGGAAGCACCTGGAGCTGTCGTCAGAATGACGGGAGCCAGCAAGCATGCAGACCATCGGCATTCCACCATGATGGCTTCGATTTAAGAAGGTCTTGCTTGATGCTGATTTTGGGGTCTTAGTTGTTCCTGGCAGCGTGGACTTCGATCAGAAGTTGTCTTTGACATGCAGGGGCCGCTTAAAGGGGTGAACCGGAACCCGGTGACAGGCACAAGACTCCCGAAACAGAAGTAGCGCCGTTGTCATGGTGAAGTGGTGCCAATGTCGCGTACTCGCTCCAGGAAAGCATGTCGTTGCATGTCGTCGCGCAGTCTTCGTCTCCACAATTTGCAGTTGAAGGCCTTACAGCAGATGGAGGATAATTAAACATCACCTTGGTACCAGCAGTTATATAAGGTTCAGGAGCTCGATCTGAGCTGGAACCACATGACTTCCCAGCTTTTCAGCTGCCTGGGCGAGAATTTGGCGAAGCGCGCAGTAGCCCCTTGGCCATCCTAGGAGCCTTCTCGCCTCGGGAGATCGTGATATTGGGACCCTTTTTTTCCTCTTCTTGGGAGGGGAACTTACCACAAGAGTATTAAATCAGGATCAGAAAATGACTGAGCCATCCTCTTCCCGGCTCAGGCGGTTTTTTCGGTTTCTGGATTTCTTGGTTCTGGGGGGGGGGGGGGCGTCAGGTCGAAGTGCACTCGGGGTTTGTGTCGAAGGTGCACGCGGGATGCCGGAAACCTGCGCTGTGCGTGCGTTTGGGCTCGGAGGTCCTCGGCGGCGATGGCAAACCCATCCCTAAACGCTCATGTTGGGCGGCAAACCTAAACGCTAAACGTGACCAGCTAGCGGGCAAACTTTTCCCGACAAAGCTCAGTAACGTGTGCTGTTCCCTGCAGTGCGCCTTTACCGGCAGCGAGGCGGGTAGCCAAAAAAGTTCCTGCTGGGTAGCAAGCCCTGAGCCTCAAAAGGTCTTAAACCAAAGCCTAAACTCTATGAACCAAATCGAAGAACCCTGAAAGAAGATGTTGGGTGGCAAGGCATGGACCCCGTACTTTTCGGGACCCCGAAGCCTCCGAGCGTACGAAACGGGACCCCGTGTGCGGCCTCGACGCGCCCGAGTGCCGCGTGCACCTTGCGGGCGCGTGCGCCTTGAAGAGCCCTACCATTGCCCTATCCTGGTGTTCTGGAACCTTGGCTTCTTGGCTTGCTACAACTGCCACTACTGCTCCTACTGCTACTTCTGCTACTACTGCTACCTACTTCTTCTTCTGCTATTGCTACTGCTACTGCTGCTACTCCTAATTACCACCACCACTACAACGACGATTACGATTACTACTACGATTATCACTACTAGATATCACATATTTTTCATTACGACCACTACGCTGCTACCACTACTTGGTTGATCCTGATTTCATTTTGCGATCCGTCGCCCCTTTTACTGTTGGTTGCCCAGTACCCAGAAGGGCCAATGACTTTCGTTTGAGCATCTGCATGAGGTGAAGAAGCTCAACGTCTGCAATTGCTCGGGCGCTGGGATTGACAACTTCTCCGTGCCAGCAGCTTGCTTCATCAACGGAAAATTTAATATTGCCGTCGGAGAGGGCTCTGGAAGTGAGGGAGGGGTGCCACCAACTTCTGCAGCTGCAAGGTAAATTTCTTGCTGGAGCAACTCCAGAAAGACAGCGCCCTGACGTCCCTCGACCTCTCCATGAGCAGCGGCTTGGCGTAACGAAATCGCACGGTACAGGACTAAACCCTAAACCCTAAACCCTAATAAGCTCGCCCGAAAAGGAGTGAAGGGCTGTTAAAAAAAAAAAAAAAACATATCCCAGGAATGAACTTTCGCTCTGCCCTCATCCTGGAGGATGCTCTGCAGAATCATAAGACGCTTGGCAAGTGCTTCAAGAAGCTAACAACTCGTGCACCCGCATTCTATGCCCAGGAGTTGATATTCCTACTGCATACCTCACATTATAAGCGGAAGTGCTGTTTACCTGTGACTCTCAGGCAGCTCAAGCACTTGCATCTGGCCGACAACCCCTTGGGGCCTCGTGGCCTCAGGCAAGGTAATCCCGCTGGTGCGGATTCTAATCCAGCAGATGAGCTTGAACTTACAAAGTGAGAGAGGTTGCAGGTTTCCATACCGCCTGCATCAAAAACACCTTACGATTCAGCAGGTCAGTTCTCAGGGCTGTCGCATCAACAACGCTTCCTGGCCGAAGCCATGAGATTGATCTGCAGACGGCACGCATCGGCACGCCCTCACTGGCAGAAGCATGCATGATCGCCAAGAGAGTGCCAAACGCGAGGAACGCGATACTCTTCTATGATACATCTGGCTGCTATGGTGGCGAGGTCCATGTTTTGAGCCATTCTACAACTGCTCATTTGACGCGTGCTTTGCACTGGAAGCAGGTGCCAGCTGATCACGATCATGAAGTGTTTGCAATGAGATGCTTGTTGGCAGAGGGTGGGAGGGAATGGATTGAGTTGGCCTAAACCCTTAAGCCCCGAAGCCCGAAACCCTAAAGGATACTTAAACCCTAAACCCCTAAACCCTAAAGGATACCCAACCCTAAACCCCTAAACCCTAAAGGATACACCCCTCGTGGTGAAAGCGGGCCGGAGCCGTGAAAGAGCTTATCGTGTGGAGCCAAGGCAACCTTCCCGGCTCCGGGTCCTACAGCCTGCAATTGCATCGCCCGTGCCGCGGCTTAGAAGGGTGGAAGGTTGGGCTTATTATGACTATGAGTATGATTATGAATATTATTATTGTTATCATGATCATTATTCTGGTTATTATGATTATTATGACTATTATGATTATTATTATGATGATAATTTATTACTATTATTGTTATTATCCACCTTGAGCTGCTCTCAAAGCTTCCTCAGGTATCACAGATCCTTGCTGCGCATGCTGTACAAGTCTGCCGAAGGGTTTCGATTGGCACCTTCGGAGGTGTTGACGGTCGCAACTGATTGGCATGAATGACGGCAGACGAACTGATGGCATGATTTCACAAGGGAGGAGGGGAAGATTGCCCAGGTAAGCTCTACGGGCGACTTTGTCCACGGGACGAAGAAAGCAGGCGGGAGTTACGCCAGCGACACCGGTTCCTGGAGGTTCAAAGTACTTGCAACCCAATACTGTAGTTGCAGCCCGATTTTCGCTCCCCAAACCAGGCTGTGGATGCGGGAAGTACCCATGGACCTCCAAGTAGGAGAATGCAGAAGAGCCAATCATCAACAGGTCTGTGGGAAGTGCCAAGCAGTGGCGAGGTGACATTGAGCTTCAACTTGGCAGCTTGGCAATGGGATTCAGCACAAGCGGCCACACCACCACCACTACCACCGCCACCGCCACAAACACAAACGCCACAGACACCGCAACAACCAGGCCAGCGGGTGCACTGGTAGCACACATGATAATCGGCATGGTCCTCATGCCAGGGTAGCAGATGCACTGGTAGCACATGTTGTGTAGGAGCCCAAGAGTTGTAGTTTTGGCAAAGCGATCTTGACAAATGCATGTGTGGTCAACCGGACAGAGAAGAAGCAAAATCATGGCTGCAACAGTGTCATATTCTTGGAGGGCGCTTCAGAAATCTGTGCCTTTGACGACGGCAGATCATTGGCATGCCACCTTCAGACAACGAGAAATACGAAGTCATGGCGGAAAAGCAATTAAGAAGCATTTCGTAAGGAAACGGTCTTAAATCATCATAAGAACAACCATAAAAAGTAACTATAAGAGCAGCCACAAGAACAACGGTAAGAATAACCGTGAGAATACTAAGAATCTTGAGTCAAGCGCTCATGTCGTTTAGGCTGGGGGTGCACCCGAGGAGCGTTGCTTCGAGTCGCCCTTGTTCAAGGATGTGGACTCGGACTTTAGCCTTGTAATCAACCGCCGCTTGCCTTTGGCTTAGTGTTTCAGAGTTCTTGTGGCTCTCAGAATACGAAAATAGCAATATGCCATTATAATAATAGAATCATAAATTAACATATACACAAATACAATAATACAATTATCTAAGAACTCATATATGAATAGATTAATGTAGCAGTATGAGCCTAAGCGTGTTGGATCTTTGGGGTCTCATCCTGCGTCGATGACACTCAGAACGGGTACTGGGGAGATGGGGCATGGATTTGGGGTAACGCGAAGCATGCTTGGAGTCCAAGAGAGCATCCCAGGGTTCTACAGCCTCTCACGCTTTCATCTTGACTCCAAGAAGGTGCGGAGTGCAGGTTTCGAGACGCCCTTGCAATCCCTTCATGTCAGTTTGTTTAGGGTTTAGGGTTTAGGGGTTAGGGCTTTTAGGTTCATCATGGCACGGCAGGCCGCGGCGGTTTTTGGCCGATTTGTGGAACTGGATGGTTTCCAGCATTCGCAAGCTTCGCTTCTGAAGGCGGTCATCCCTAAACCCCAAACCCTATAAACCCTAAACCCCCTTATTTGACACTTTGTGCTTGTTGCGTGTGAGAGTTCACAGGGCTCCTCATGCCTGATCACCAGGCACTGAGTTTCGACTTTGTTCTCACCATCAAGCACCTGAAAGTGCTGGCGGAGCCTGATCCCCAGAGCAGATCGATGATCGCGGGAAGGGCGAGGGAAACCCCAAACCCCAAACATCTCAGTGTGGACGTGCAGTTCAGCTAGGCGGAGGGCAAAAAAGCATCTAGCACAACCAGCACGGCCCTTGACCCCCAAGGACATCGCAGCTCTTCAGGGCACCTTGCATCATGAACTTGCTTCCCTCGGTTCTGCGTGAAGCCGGTTCGCTCCTTGTCGGCAACTAACGATTGCATCATTCCTCTGATTCTGAATTATAGCTCAATGTTGTTATTGCCAAAGTGGCTATGATGAGTTAATACGAAGTCGAAATCATTGAATGAGGTACTATGTGGCGCAAGGAATGTACGCCACCACGCTGGATTGCGTCACGTGTCGCTTGAAGCTCAAACAGTGCCCAGCTTAGAGTGAGGCCTGCGGTGATGTGTTTGAAGGGTTGATCTGATCGACGGGCCTTTTCGGGCACCCTAAGCTTATGTAGACATCGCTGCCTACACATGTTAGGACAACATCCGCATCAACAAAAATGTGCCAAAACATGAAAACAATATGACAACATTCTTCGACACAAAAGAATACGAATAAACATTTTGATTTATGCCGCCCATGCTTCTCCAAATCAAGTTTCACATGTTTCACACTGTTTTCATTTTTTGACAATGTGCTCACAATTGTCACCATTTGTTCGCACTTTTCTCAGGCCTGCTCGAAGTTTAGCTCCCGGCCTCCCATCGCCACGGCCGACCAATGTCACAGTTCTTTCACGTGGTTGAACGTTGCATTGTTCATCTTCTTCTCACAAATTGTCCATGTTTCCTGGTCGCCTGATTTGCAAGGAGGTGTAGGGGAAGACCTACTTATACTTAACCCACAAAAATGAATAGAGAGCAGGTACCGAAGAGGCCCATAGTTTAGATCAACCCCCCTTTCAGGTCATACTTGGGCTGCACGTAACCTGGTAAGGCTGCTCTGCCTGTACGATATGTTACCACGAATATACTATGCCTTGTTGAGGCTCCTCCGCTTCACCGTGCGAAACCCAACGGGCCACTACACTTTGGCTTTGGACTGGCATCTTCAGCCAGCGTGGCATTGTGCTTTAGGGTTTCGGGTTTAGGGTTTTAGGGTTTAGGGTTTAGGGTTTAGGGTTTAGGGTTTAGGGTCTTGCAGGACAATCGAGCAGATTTCGCTGTGGCGGAGCAGCTTGCTCTTCTTGACAAGTGGGAGAGCTCCATGTCTGCATTCCGCAAGACTCGTGCGATCATTGAATGGCATCTGCAACATGCATACAATTCTTTTTGCCTCTTTCTCTTCTTCCGCACCCGCCGAGTCATGATGGACAAGCGGTACCTTAGCAGCAAGCAGCATGATCTGACTCGCTTTTGGAGTCCTTTCCGCTGTGCAGACTCAGGCTTGGGAGAGAAGATATCTCAGCTGAGTGCAACCGCTCTCACGCGCGGAATGCCTTCTATCAGGGCAAGCCGATTCAGCACTTGGGCCTAAAAGAATACAGAAGCATAGAATCAGAAATCCGGTTCTCCTATGTTTTCCAGTCAAGATGAATCACTGAGGAGCTCCACGCTGGCATTTGCAGACTGGAAGCGTCCGGGCCATGACAAGCTGGAGCGGCTTGCTTGCGTTCCCCAAAAACCCCCCCAAAAACTCCCTTGAACCATCTTAGACCCCTCAAAACTTAAGCTCTTGAACTTGCTTTAAAGACCTTCCCTAAACACCACACAGCCAGACACCCGAAACCCTAAACCCTAAGCTGCAAGAACCCTAAACTGCCGAGATGTGAGTTGAAAAGTCTTCGCCTCAGGCTGGATTATGTCAGCTCGCAAGGACCTCCGAAAGGTGAGCAGGCCATCACTTGGGCATCCTTCCAGCAGATTCTAGAGGCTGCCACCCGGTGGCAGCTGAACACCTCTTCTCATGGTTCCAGCATACGAGTAATGAGAGGAAGAGTCGCAGAAAATGGCATAACTCGGAACTGTTTGTTTTTTTTCGCATCCTTTGTAAGAAGGGAAGTGGCAAGAAGAGCAATACGAATGAAAGCAGTAGTGCTTGGTGCTGATTCGGTTGCTAAGGTTCACCAACCAGCCTGTTCTTCGGCTTGCAAATGGTGGTTCAGTGGCGGTCGGAGCATGCAAAGGTGTGCTCACCTCCTTACTTGGAGGTTCAGGGCACTTAGTAGCCCATTATAAGTGTAGTTCTAACCCACATCTAAGCCCCTTAAGTATCCGAATACGGTTATAATAGGGTTATATGTACACTTTTAATTCGGCTACTAAGCACCCGGAACCTCCAAGTAGTAGCTCAGGTTCTGCCCATGTCAAAGTCGCCGCCTTGCGGAGCCAAGCGCAGCATTTCTGCATCGAATCCAGGCCAGAGCGATTGCCCAGAGTTCAGGGTTTAGGGTTGAGAGTTTGGGGTTTAGGGTTTAGGTTAAAGTCGAGGGAATTGCCAGGTGTGAAGTGTTTCTGATATTTCGGGGGTGCTGGGTGCTGGCATGAGCTGAAACATGCTGAAACCCCTTACATCTGTCAGCATGGACTCCGCGTGTTTCCACAGCCAGCCTTGAAACAAAGCTGCAGGCAGGCGAGTTCAGACTACCGCGGACACGATCATACGGGGTGTGTCGGGGTGTGTCTACGGCAGACCCCAACATTGCGAGACCATGTGAGCCCAGACGTCCAACAGCGACGACAGTTTCGCATTTGGCGAACATGGAAATCCAAAGGCGACGACGGCATAATTGACCTACCCCGCTTATTCTGCACTTTGAAGCCCTTGCTGCGGTGTTGAAGCCCCGTTGGCTGTTTGGGTTGTACCTGCAGCCGGGCTGGCCCAATGCAGCTCATGGAGGGGCACACCCTGCAGGTAGAACGTTCTTTCCGGTGGACAAATCTCATGTGTCAGGTGGTGCAGCAGCACGCACGTCATGAGTTCAGGACTTCAAGGGGGGTCCAGCAGGTGCGTTTTTGATGTTTTCCTGGGCGTGGCTTCTGTGGGAGGGGGGCCCACAGCCTGGAAACCGCCCACGGCATCGGGTTGCAGCTCCTCCAAGCTGTTCGGGAAGGTCCCAGGAGAAGGGGAAGGAGGAGAATTTCTGGTCGGGGACCAGATCAGGGTCTGCTTGTTCTAGACTTTCGGCCTCGGCCAAAAGCCGAGGCGAATTGGGTATGTCCCGATTCGGAACCTTTCATGATCCCTACCCAACTTAAGTTATTAAGCGCCCACGCTGGTTCATGAAGTTCAGCGAAATGCGTTGCAGGGCGCCTACATGTAGCATATGCCGCATCGTGTAGGGTGATTCTTGCGCAAGGCAGCTTCGTGTGCTGGTGGGGACTTTTGCAGAACCCTCAGACAGAATAGAGATCTTCGTCCTCTTCTTCAATCGGCTTGTCGCTGCTTAGCTTTAAATGGCTTTGCTCCGGAGCCTGCAGTCAGCACAGTGCTCCTCCGCATCTTCTGCGAGCATTGAGGACCCCCAAAATGCCAAGATGTATCGAGCCCAGCTCGAAGACTTTTCGGATGTGCTGGCCCTGAGACGCAGACTTGGCTTTGCGAGAACCTTCCCGTACATTCAGCCTGAGTTTGAGCAATTCCAGCTGCCGGGCTGCTGTTCAGATATACATATATATATATATATATATAGGTAGAAAGGTTATGATTATTGTTATTGTTTTAATAATTACTATTATTCTTACTGTGATTTCCATGATTCTTCTCATTATTAGTAAAGATAAAGGAACTTGAACTGAATGATGTTGCCACAAGAAACCACATTCTTTACTACAAATCCCTTTATGGTAGCTTAATGATCATTTCCTTAGCAGCAACCCAGGTTGAACCTCGGCTTGCACGACGAGCGAGTCTGCATGACCGCTTTACTGGCCTTGTCTGGTCGAGAGAACGCAGGCAACATTCGCCATCCTTTGTGCCTTAGCCGGAATGGACCGAAAGGGCAGAAGAGTAAGACCAGGAGAGCTCGAACTCCCACTCAACATGCCAACGCCGGAGAAGGGCAGCAGATGGTCGCATGGTTCATGCAGCTACACATGCAGTTTGCTTGATGTTGCAGGTACATCTTACCAGATGGGACGGTTGATCCCCTGAAGATGGGGATACCTCGCAGCTGGGATTCTTGGCTCTCACCTTGAGCATGGGTCTCATTTTGTTTCGCACGGGCAAAAACCCCCAAACCATCTTTATACTAGGGCTTTTGGGCACGCTTTAAACTTAGCACTGATGTCATTACGGGCCCCTTAATTTCATATACTTCTTATTGGGCCCTGAATAAACAGCACTAATGTACCAAGTGCATAGAGCCGTATCTCGCAAGAGTACCTCGTACAGGCCCCTGACGAGATTGCTTTATCATCCCTCCCCATTCAGGAGTTTCTTGATCGTGTTCCACAAGGTGGCACCTTCAAGCTGCTTGGACTCCAGCACAAGTGGGAAGTGATGGCACGAGCCTTCTTAGGGGCGCGAGCATCCCAACAATCCGAAATGCAAAATTACCTTTCTGCATTTTTCACAAGAGAGCCGCGCAGCTGAATGGCGAGACCTAACATGACTTGCCCCGATAGAGCCTACGAGGTGCAGCTATGTGTGCGCGCCGGGGCAACGAAATTTCGAGCTCCGCAAGCAGCTGTGCAAGTCTTATCACTTTTCGGAGACTCAGCTGGTATTATCGCTTTTCAGCGCGATGTTAGTGCTTTTCTCGCTGCACACATTCTCTTCAGACCCGACTTGTCCACGGCAGGATGTCAAGGAGGCTGCTGTGAGCTGGTGGACCAACATGATCGAGGCCTTTGGCTTTCAGCTGCTCCAACAAAAGAGCTGGAGCAGTGGTTTAGGGTTTTGGGTTTTGGGTGGTGAGTAGGGGAGTTGCCCTGCAGATGGCATGGTAATGTTGATAGCCTTGCCTGCCGTGTGCGAATGTGAGAGTCGAAACTAGGCGGGTGGCCAAATTACAAGCGGTTCAAAAGGATTACGGGGCTTTCAGGGCTCCGGATGCGACATGGCGCAACACCGGGCAACTCTTTGCAGCGGAAGGAGCTTGTCGGAGCTTGTCGGGTTCACTGTTTTGTTGGCTTAGACCCTGATAAGGGTCCATCACGTTACCTCTCTTTGGGGCTTTACTTCCTGTCAGTATGTGAGAGCATGCAGGCTGCACAACTCATGGTTCGAGGATGGTTTAATGGGCGTTCCGCCAAATTGCAATCCGTGTAGTTCCGAGTGTAGCCAAGCGATGCGAGCCTCAGCGACAAAAGGCGACAACATCATTTCAGCCGTCGCTGTAAATAGTTCCACTTGCTAACCCAAATCCCTTCAAAACAGACATGAGGCAATGAGGCTTCCGTGGTCTCTAGCCTTGTTACTCTGTCAAGCATGCGATTTAGCTTTCAACCGAATGGAAACCCGTCACTTTTGCGAACAGATGCCAAATCATCGAAGCCCAAATGCTGAAGAATCCGGCACCTGCAGCTTCTGCAGGTTCCTACAGAGGTTATCGATTTGGTGCTGCCTCTCGTCTGCATGCCAGTACATATGGGCATTGTTACTTCCTTTCCGGCCCAGGATGGACCGGAGCTTGGTTTTGTGCACACTGCTCATTTTTGATATACTGAACATGGGTCAAATGGACAAGATGGTTTTGGACAGCGTCCAGGGCTTGTCAAGCAGAGCAAGGTGCAATTCTCAAGCAGACAACAGACTTGTCACACCATAGGCTCTCCAGAACACACAACACCTTAGGAAGCAACACCCGCGACCATCCAAACTCGACCAATTCCAAGCATCTTTCCACACCTTGTTCCCGCACCTTCGATGCAAGCCTCAGATCTCCATTGTCCTCCAGTTAAATGGCCGATCTTGCGGCGGCGTTTCTCTTGCTCTGTACTACCATGGCCAGCGTCCGTCACCTTGCAAGCCCACGATTCACAGATTTGAGACAACCCAATGGCAAGTTCCACGCAGGACCAAATCGCGAGCCTGTTGCACCTTTCTAGCAGAGAGCGACAACACTACCGGGTCGGACTCAGACTCATTGTTGCCCAAGAGGTATCAGCTGCACAAAAGTTGAACCCCCTTGCTCAGATTTGGATTCAAAGTTTCAAATATCAGAAAGCCCCTGGCTCAGGCCGCAGGTCTGCTGCAGGGACCTCCGCTGTAATCCTGTGGCGCATGCAATCTGGAACCGCCAAGGATGCTGAAGCAGAGTGCGCTGGACCTGAACAAGGCGTTTGATTCGATCGATGGCTTTGACGGAAACGGCCATCTTGGCTGCAGACTCCGTGACCTTCAGACTGGAAAGGTCAGAAGATCTTCTCCTCAACCGAATCAAAAGCATGATCGTTGTGGATAGCTAAACGCCTTGTGGAAAGTCATTGCCACGGTGCTCTAAGGCGAGATTGGACTGGGGAAGCTTCAACAGGGACTGGAAGATCTTGGCTGGCGCAAGTTTAGGAACCCATCCTCGGATCACGATATGAAGGCGACGTGCCGATTCTTGCTTTCCACTGAGACCAGGTTGTGACGTGTTGAGACTACTTGTGGCTATATGTATATACACACAATACACACTATTTATATCATATAATGTATATGCACGGCAGGAGCAAATGCTGGCAATCTTTCGATGTCTGAACGCTTCTGGGCATGGCACGCTTTCAAGAAGCGACTGGAACATACTCCAGCAGCTGACGAAGGATGCTCCTCGCTTCATTTTTCGAGACAGCTACCGCCGGTTCTCGCGCATGGATAATACGCAGCAGCTCGAGAACATGGTCTGTTGTTCGAGAGCTACTTTCGGCTTCACCCCGTAGATACACAGTAGCCCTTCGCACACGTGATGCAGCGACTCAAGCCTAGTGCGGCGGCTTTAGTTGCTGTGCAAGGTTGACCATGCCATCGCGGAGTGCGTGCCAGCTGCTAGCAGTTGGAAGCTCTGCTTTGTGTAGCACTGGCATCATATGGCACAATCCGCTCAGGCAGTACTTGATGCGCATATATGGCTCCCTTGCCGATGCCTGGAGTGCGCTGGACAATCTCGCACAGGGTATATTATATACGATGTAGTATATACTATATTATATATTATATGTTATACATTATATATGATATATTATATAGTATATATTATATATTATATATGCCAAATTAGGAAGGGGCACATGACACGTGGACTGGCATTTGCAATAATCGGTTTGGCAGGACATCGACCTCCAAGACAGCCTGGGCCGGACTGCGTGGTTCGAATCACTCCGGCGGCTTCGCTTCCCGTACGGCATTGGGCCATTGGGCATACTTGTCTGGAACTTCCTTAAAGATTGGCGTGAGTGAATCTTGGTAAGGCTACTTCGGGCCCAGTGAGATCGTCTTTCGGTTTCTCACGGCATCGGATGCTGCACGGTCGCGGACAATAACCTGGGAGAAGTTTTGTTCCAAGCTTAGCGACACTGAGCGACACTGGGACCTTCGCAAGTGGAGCTGAAGAGCTCAGATCTGGCTGAGGCAGGCTTGAAAAGTTCATCGGCTATGGGCTGGCGTAAACTCTCTGGCCAGAATTGAATTTGAGCATGCACCATTTGTCCAGCACCTTCGATGGAGCTTAGCATCCTTTGGGATACCTGTACAGGTTCTTGAGGTCTCACAAGCAAAGGTAAAGTGCTCGGCACTGTCTAAGACAGTTCCGGCGAGCTCTGAAGTTTGGTCTGGACCTCGCATGTGGCTGGACGAAATCCATGCAAAAGGGCAGCGGCCAAAGTGGGGACTTTGTCATTATCGGGATGTGCCAGGTAGCGCCAGACGAGACACTTCTGGTGAGGAACTGGAGCAGGTCGTCGGCATCCGTCTCAAACCATTACACATCGTATAGGCCCCTAAACCCTAAACCCTAAACCCTAAACCCTAAACCCTAAACCCTAAACCCTAAACCCTAAACCCTATCCCTGCGGAGCGGGTGCTTGTGTGCGCGCAGTGCGGGTGGCGAAACCCTAAACCCTAAACCCTAAACCTTGCCCACGCATGCGAAACGGGTGGGAAAAAAAAACTGCCCACAAACAGTCAAGAATCTTTGAGCATCCTGCGCTTCGACCCTGCCATGGCGTGACCGCATATTGTCGCAGTTATTGACCGGAACCTCAAGCAAGGCCATGGTCATGTTTAGGAACCCTTAAGGGCATCTACTTTTTGGATCCTCCCAGGGGTCTGGGAAGCTGCTTGCGAGACGATCACTGGCATGTGTCCGATAGTCGGACAATGCTTTCGTAGCGTTGCTGCATCCTTTGCTTGCAATCTCCACGAGATGCAGCAACTAGCGATCTTGTGAAGAAAGTTTGCAAGGCTTTGTCTGTGCCTGTGCCAGCGAGAGAGCAGCAATGAAGCACCTTGATAAGTTCCTTGAAGCTCCTTGACTCTTGAAGGCAGCAGGCTTTGTTTAGCACACGAGACACAGGGTCGTTGATGTCCACGGATATTGAAGCTACGGGAAGCCGTGGGGTCGTAAAGCTGTAGATGTAGCTGGTCGTGTCGGGACCCCGAAGGACCCGCAGAAACAGAGACCTATGCCTTGCGTCCTGTAAACGGTAGGTGGGACACACAGGGGGCAACTCGGTAAGTGCAGCATACAGTTCTGACGCTATGGATACTCAGCTGGTGCTTCCGGGGCAAATGCAGATTTTGTCTGAAGCTGCTTTGGCGTCTCTGCCAACAGACAAATCCCGCGAAGGCCTGGAGAAGGGGTCCGAACTGGGAGGCGACGGTATGACAATGAGATTGCCAATGCCAAGAATCAGCGACGAAGAGTTTCACGAAAAGCTTCGGAACCTGGAGCTCGAGTGCCAACAGCTGCGCGACAGCAAGTCCCAGCTAGAGCAGGAAAATGCGCTGCTCAAGGCACAAATGGGTCGCTCCTTGGAGAGTTCGGAGACTACGGAGAGCCGGCTAAAGGGCTCCATCTCCGTGGCGGAAACGCAGCATCAAGTCCTGCGCCGGCGCATGCGGGCCATGTTGGAGGATCAGAGGCGCTTGGTGGATGAACTCCAGCAGGAGATCGCACAGGTGCCGCTGCACGTGAAGAAATTTATGAAATTTCCGGGGTTTTCCAAACCTGGGGGGCTTGCCCTTCTGAAGAATGACCGCAGACCCTAAATCCTAACCCTAAACCCTAGCCCTAAACCCTAAACCGCATCAAGTGCAGGAGCTGAGCCAACTCGGCCGCTCCCAAAACTCCCAGAGCCCACCGACTTCGATGAGCTTGCAGCGCCTCAAGCAGCACCTTGTGGTTTCATGTTTGGGGATAACATCCCCCTTAGACTAACAGTCCTGATTTAGGGGGTTTAGGCTTTAGGGTTCAGTGTTGTAGTGTATAAATTCCCTTTGAAGGATTGGTAGTCTAAGGGAGAGCCTGCCAGCTTTCATTTCATTTCGGGGGCCTTGTTGGGGATACTCCCTTCCCCCTGATATTACAGTCCCCCTACCCGCGAATATTACATTCTCATGAACTGTAGCGATATGATAGTATATGGTGTATGGGGTGGCGGGGGGGGGCGGGGTTGTAATGTTAACGCTACGTGACCCGCCTCGACCTGAGCTTCTTTTGAGGCCGTAATTTTTGGGAAAAGGGGTGTGGGGTGGGGGGGGGGGAGAATTTTTGGAGAGAGCATAAACCCAAAAAAACAAATTGCGGGATGGCGGAAACCTAAACCTGGCATATCCCAGCATGGCGGAGCACTTGCGGAGGGGTTGAGACATCCCGATTCTTTCAACCGTCTGCGAACATCTAAACTCAGCGGATGGAGCGTGTTTACCTCAGGGCCTTCATGGATCCAGAAAAGAAGTATCAAGCAAAGGCCGGTGTAGCTCGTGCACTAACTTGGTAGCGTGGCCTCAAAGCACCCATCTGAAACGTTGAGAAAAGTCCTCCATTCTCAAATCCCGGCCTGGCGGAGGCAAGCATCGTGGTGCGATGTCTAGGAACAGGTACATGAACCATTTTCTCAGCTGGAGCCGGGGAACGGAGGCGCATTGTGAGTGAGATTGAGTGAGCTTGAAGGGCGGTCCATAAGTCCTCCCCAGCAAGATCAGGGCGCAAGAATCATAGGCTCTTGAAAGATTCGAAAGCCCAGGCCAGAGGCGCCGAAGCCGACCCTGCAATCCAGCAGCTCTTTGGACACGACGTCGACGCTCCAAGCAAGGCCCTCAAGGCCGTGGTCGGAGTCCAGATATCTGGACAGCGCGCCCTCAAGCTCTTTACAGCGGAACTCTCCTCGAGAAGGGACGGCGCCGCCAGAGGAAGACACGCCGGATGCTTAAACAGCGATTCTGCATATGGCATAGTAGCGGCTCACGGCTTGGCTTCATGTCCCAGAAGCACCAATAGCATGCACATCATACCGTTGCTGTGGAACGTGCAATGCAGCCTCGGGAACTTCTGGTCGCACCCAGGCCCACCCGCACCTTGCCAGTGCCGGTGCTGCAGCGTCCCGCGGCTATCAGAAGCTCCGGCACTGCCGGCACTGCATCGGCACCACGGGCTTCGGTGAGTTTCTCGGGGGCGCCCCAGCACTTTGCGCCAGAAGAGCTGAAGTCACCCAGAGAAGCAGTGGCGCCGCAGGAGGACGACCCGCCAGATGCTCAGTCCGTTTCCCCATTCCCTCAAACAATACAAGCTCATACAAGTTGGATGTGCAGCTGTTCAGCAGGTGCGTTGCCGCATCGGCTAGGGTTTGTTTCTGTCTAGATGCTCCTCGAACTCCGGGGTCGCGTGTCATCCCCCAGGCACTTCCACGCAGGCCCAGACAAAAAGGCACAGTTACTTCACCTGTTGAGGACGCATTGTGTAAATGCCGGGTGGACTTTTGTTTGCTTTTCGCTGAGGCTTCGGGGTACAGTACAGTAGCCCCTTATGTTGGGGCGCTGGAATTGTGCAAAACACAAGGGCCTACACAGACTTGATGTTGCCTTCGAGTTCTAAGCAGCCTGCCTTGACTCCATAAACCCCATGAAACCCATGAATTGGGATGTGCCCCCTTATACTAGCAGTCCTTTAAAAGGACTATACGAGGGGGTACTATCATCCCGATGAAGGACTGCTAGTATAGGGGGGAACATCCCAACCCATAAACCCTAACTATGAACCCTATAAACCCTATGCACCTAAGCTCAGGCCTGCACCAGCCACAAGGCTTGCCTCCTCGGGCCATCCATGGTCGGCCAGCCATCAAAGTGGCCCCGACATGCCGGAGGAGGACTTGAACTCACCGAGACTAGCACCGCCTGAAGAGAGCGTGCTTCTGCGGGGTCTCCCAGGTGACAGTCTCCCATACCGCATGTGCGTGGAGAGAGTCCGCCATAGCACAAAGCCCTAAACCCTAAGGTGGCTGGCTTTGCGTTGCTTGCTGTTTGCTCGTAGTAGTACCTGTCCATCCCTGTCCCCAGTATTTGAAACCTCCTCCCCCATCTGGATTCGGTGAATTTCTGTTTCATAGCGGGGGTGGGAAATGCTGCGAAACATTGAGCAGAGGGGGAGGGAGCGGGAAGGGACATTTAAAATACAAACTCGCGCAGGGGACAGTCCGCATCATCCAACCCGGAGTTGCCTTGGCGAAGGATGCCGGAGAGCTGTGCAAGCTACAGAAACCGATCACAACCCACCGCACGTGTTGCCCTGGCGGGCGTGGTACAAACCAGGGACCCACCTTGCAGCGAGACCATACGAGACCGTGAAAATTGCTACTCTCAAAATTTCAACATCAACGATGCTCTTGACAATTCCCCAACCTGTGTATTCCAAAGTGCACATGCGTGCGCGACAAGAAAAAGTTATCTTTCCAACTCCGCGATCTTCCCTGTTGAATCGTAGAATCTGCCAGCATCTTGGGTGCAGGGCAGTCCCTTTTGGGCTTGGGGGGGTGGGTTGGGTATGGACACCAGGCGTGTCCTTGATCGCTGTGCGCATGCTGGACTCCTAAGGCCATCGTCCGCTGTGACGACACGAATCGGAAGCTCCTCGCCGGGACCTTCGCCATTGCAGCTTTCCTTTACAAAGGGCGCATCCTCCACACGTTCTGGTTCAGACGGTTCAGACATGGGTTCTGTGGAAGAAGCACCACCGGAAGACGACAGCCCGCCCTTGCCGCTGGATGCATCGGGAGGGGGGGGGGGGGGGGGCTTTGGAGTATTTTTCGCCTGGTCATAGTAATGACAGCAACAAGAGTACACACAGGAAAACATAGTCATAGTTGTTATAGTACTGGGTGCTCGGGGCAAGCCTTAGCCCAATCCGGCTGTGCTGCACTCGAGCTGGTTGTCGTGAATAGGCCTTGCAAGATAACTTGGGATGTCCCCCAATATACTACAGTCCTTAATCGGGATTATAGTACTCCCTACTAGAATCCCTATTAAGGACTCTTCGTATCAGGGGGAATGTCTACACCACTTTGAAAGCGTGCTAGTCGTGAGGGTCGAAATCCCGAAAGCCCTAAACCTCCCCTAAACCCGAACGCATGCTGTTTGTCGTTGGACTGCCATGGCACAATTATTGAGCGAGTCTCAGATCATACGGCTGAGCTAACAAAGCTGGTGAAGGCCTGCAACGAATGGCTGTGATTTGAGGGAAGGGGTCATGACAGAGCTACCACATGCAGGGTCCTGGGCTGATCAACCCCCGGCACTCGTAGAATAGTGTGTAGTAACAGTCTGACAATTTAACATAGGAATAGTACGAATGCAATAAGCGTAAGAATAGCTATAACTTGTAACATTGCTTGGGGCGGCCGCACTGAATGCAACACCCATCTTCTTTTGGGCAATCCGGTTCCACTCCGCTGGCCTCGTCCAAACAGCCCGAGACCCCTCTTAAATCTGAATTCATCATGGGGACCCCCAACAAAAGCCTGAGGCGTGTTCCTCCAATTAGCGCATTGGGCTGTTCATAGCTCATGACGCGACCAAGGAGCCCGATCTCCTTCCACTCGCCTGATGGGTCGGCCAGAGAGGGTCGTGAAGGCCACCGTGCTGTTTAGGGGGATCCTCCATTTCAAAGGTAGCCCATGCGACCGTGGGATGCAGAAACATATTCAAGAAAGACCGACTTGCCACTGCCCAAGCCTATGCTTATCCTGCCCTAGCAGCGTTGCGCAGCAGGTGATCTGGACGACACACACGCAGAGCTGCTTGGCTTCATCCAGTCAACCCCGTGACGTGCTGGCCGGGCAATCTTAGGGGCTCATGGTGCCATGCCTCGGCTAAGGAAACCGGAGCCAATGATGAGCAAATCTCCGGTCCAAGGATCCTCGGGCCAGGCAGACCATGCTGAGTCCTCACAGAAGGGCGATGAGAAGAAGCAGGTCTTACAAGCGGCTTGGCACTGCTGCATTCATCCATCTTTCCTATCCTAGATGTGTGTATGTGTGTGTGTGTTTATGCATGTTACGTAGATTTTGTACAAGGTTCTTTAAGTACTTAGCCACTGAAGTTAAAAGTTTGCATGGAGCAGCAATCTTCCAAGAACAAAGGAAGGCGTCATTTTGATGCAGCGGTATGATCGCAAACGCAGTTGCTTTCAACTCCGGTTGTGCAACAAGAAGCTCGCCAATTTGAACTTCACGGTGGACATTTCGAAGTCTGTCAATCTGGACCGTGAAAGCTTCGCGTTTGGAGAGCTAGGTTTGAAACTCAAGGCAACCCTAAACCCTAAACCCCAAAACCAAGGACTACAGGAGCCTCACTTCGTCGCATAGCATTGTAGTTGAGCACGTCGCATCTCCACCAGGTAGCGGGAGCCCCCCCCCCCCCCTGGATGCCAATGTGCCCCCACGTACATCCTGCAGGAATTCTGGGTTCCACCCGGGAAGAAGACCTCGAATGCCTGCAATGAGCCTTGGATTGGATGTTCTTATATGCCAACGTGAGTTTGTCCAACGACAACTGAGCGTACGCCGATTTCCACGCTAAGGTGAGGGTGCCAGCTGGCTCGGAGGTGGAGCTTTGTCAAATTGGGCAGGCCGGAGCTTCAAAAAAAGGTTCTGTTACAGTCTTACAACCTGGACCCAAAACGAGAGGTAGCGAGAGATAAGAAAGCAGCGCCGAGCGTGGGATCCAAATCAGGAGTCAGTACCCCTAAACCCTAAACCCGGGCGAAGAGAGTCAGTCTTGGCTTGTGCCAGGTTGTGCCCCTTTAAAACAGGGTTTAGGGTTCAGGGGTATATGCAAAGACATGTGAAGGTTGATCCGAACCAAAGGAAGATGGTGAAGCTTTGCAGCATCCAGATTCCCAGATTCCCCGGTCCTTGTGGGTTTGGGTTTCCGGGTTTTGGTTGAGATTCCTCGGTCAGCCAGGATAGATGGGTGTCAGCTCTATCTCTAGACCCTAAACCCTAAACTGAGCCCAGTGGCAAAAGGGTGCCTTCCTTGTGGCTGAGGCTTAGCACGAACTTCACCTGGGTGCCACAACCACCAGATCGCAAGCTGGTGCAGCAACAGACAGCCGCGGAGGTGAAAAGGCCAGGATAAACTGCAAAAGGATCAAAGGGATAGGGTTTAGGGTTTAGGGTTTAGGGTTTAGGGTTTAGGGTTTAGGGTTTAGTCCGTTGCTCAAGGGTTTAGGGTTTAGGGTTTAGGGTTTCGGGTTTAGGGTTTAGGGACTAAGCAACGTGAGAAGAAAGAATGCCGGCTATTGCAACCGTGAGCGCCATGATTTGGTTCCGTGAGAGGCGGCATGATATCGCGAACAACCTCAAAACCTTGGGCATCGTTGGATCCAAACTCGGCTCAGCAGCCAAGATTGAGGTGGGGGGCTAGTCCTGGGCTTCTGCTAGATGTGCATGTTGCAGGTCGCAATTGTCTATTTTTTCTGTTGTGGACGCAGGAGGCCTGCTCAAAGCGAGGCATCTCGCAGCCGACCGACTGCAGAAAGAAAATCTGGAAATACTTCGGGAGCGGTAGGACGGTTTCGCATGCCAACGCTGGAGCACGTTGTGTTAAGCATTAATTACATGCGCACACAGATCTGGACAAAGGTTTGTGGACGCAGAGTTCTTTCCAGACGACGCCGCATTGTTCAACGATCCATCAAGCCAAGATCATCCAAGCATCATTTGGAAACGTCCCAGTGAGTTCTGCAAGGGAGAGATCCGCGTCTTCTCAGATTCGATCGTTCCATGTGACATACACCAGGGCGCACTCGGTGACTGTTGGTATTTGGCCGCCTTGGCAGCACTGGCTGAACAGCCCGAGCTCATACGTGGACTCTTCAGCAGCGAGCACCACAGCAGCGTGGGCGTCTACGAAGTCGTGTGCTTCAAGAATCTGGGTAGGCCCTTGGGACATTTTTTCTATTTTCCCCTTACTGAGTTTAAGAGGATCGTATTCAGGAATATTTTTCTGAGGGTTTTAAGGGCCATCCTAGGAATGGGCAGCTGACCAGAGTCATCATTGACGACCTGATCCCATGCTCGCCGACCACGGGGAAGCCCTGCTATGCCCACGTGAACGTTGAAAATGAAGGCAGGGCTTGCTGTGCCTGGGAGGTTCATGAGGGTACTTTCTAAGCCGAACTCTAAATCAACTTGTAACCTACTTTGGGGCACTTGAGGGGGGCTTGCAAGTGCAGTTAGAATTACTTGGGAAAAAACAAGTACAGTCAGAATTAGGGTTATTTATAAGTACCCATGAACCTCCAAGAATGCTTGCTCAAGCTGACACCGCAGTGTGCAATCTGCAGCTCGAGGGTGGTACTATCAAGAGAAGCTCTTGCACAATGTGAGGTATCCTTTCATGCCCTTCAAGTCTTTCTGTCCTCTTCACCTTTTCACCCTAAACCCTCAACCCTAAACCCTAAACCCTTCTGAGTCATGCGTTGCGTGTAGTTGAGTCGCAGGCACCACCGTGAATGAGCTGTGGGTCGCACTCTTGGAGAAGGCCTGGGCCAAGCTCCATGGCTCGTACGAGCAAATCGAAGGTGGACTCCCGCGCTCTGGCTTCATGGGGTTTAGGGTTTTGGGTTTAGGGTTGTTTAGGGTTTAGGGTTTAGGGTTTAGGGTTTATCTTGTAGCTTCATCCCAAGCAGCCCAATGAAAGTCTAAATGGAGCAACCGACTTGAGATGACCTGAGGTATCAGGCATTGATGGATCTGCTGGGTGTGGCCGGGAAGCAGCCACTCAAGCTGCGCTTCAGCCGAGGGCGCGTGCTGTCTTTCGCAGTGCCGAAAAAACTACATCCCCCTTGGGTATTATTACTTTGTATTTTTGTTTAGACAAAACCCAAGAGGATATTCAAACTAACTATTATGTTTCTTAAGGTTCTAAGGAGAGTATAGAAAATCAGTCCAGGTACCAGCTCAAAGGGCAGCAGCCCAGTGGATTCACAACACCCGATAGCTTCTTTCAAGAGCTGCAACTCGGATGGGAGAGAAATTCCTGCTGTCAAATCGCCACATAAAGTGTGAGAAGTCGAAACCTACGGCACTCTTACGTCGCATAGCTTAGGAACAAGTTCGACATGAGCGGCTATCTCATGGTGGCTGGCACCAGCGGGACCGACAACCTCACAAAGGGAGCTGGTAAAGCTCCATTGGACGGCCTCGTGCCTGGACATGCCTACACCTTGCTGACGGTGCGCGAGGCATGCGGGATTCGACTTCTTCGTCTCCGCAATCCCTGGGGTGACCATGAGTGGACGGGCGACTGGAGTGACAAGAGCCCGCTATGGACCGACAGAACCAAGGCAGCCTTTGAAGTTGAGGTCGATGAGCACGACGGGGCCTTCTGGATGAGCGATGCTGACTTTCTGAAGCACTTCTCCTCCGTGGGCGTGGCCTTCTTCAGCAGGTCATGGACGATCTCTCGGACAAGACTGACAACGATCGGGGCACCGATGTGCAACCAGCTGCTCAGGCTAAAGGTGCAATCGGCCGCGGGAGGCTTTCTCAGCCTTATTCAGAGCGACCACAAGATCAAAGGCGCCTTGCGAGCCATCATGCTGTTCGCTGTTTTTGTCTAATCGCCAGCGGAAGTGTGCACTGGTATGTGCCAGGAACCCCGGAGTACATGATGAGCCTGGGAAGCATTCATGTGCTAGGTCCAGCCCTTCTCGTCTCCAACTTGTGCTCTTCCCAGGCTGCAGTTTGCACTTTATGGCCCTCTCTCTCCTGATCGAGAGCCGCGAAAAGTGCTTCAGAGCCACATGTCGGACATGCGTGAGCTCGTCGAGGAAGGGGGCCTTAGAACAAAGAGACTCGATGTTGTACATTGTTGCACGTGATTGCACATCTTTCAGGAGTTGCCAGACGAGCGACTGGAACCGGGAGTCGCTTGGCCATCTTTGCAAGGCGGTTCGATATGCCTCGATCAGGGCAGCGTGCTGTGGACACACTGCCCATGGCCGCACGTCACCTGCCATGCACTCAGGAATATTTTATCGCCATTTGGACCCCGGACAAGGCCAGGAGATGCCACCGTGTCGATCGGGCCAGCAGGGCCCGAGCAGTAGTTCGCCTCTGTGGTTCAGGAGAAGCTGCGCCACATGACTTTCGTGCTGCAGCTGGATGGAGGAGGCAGGGATGCAGGGCGATCTAGACATGTGCCTTGACCGCAAAAAGTGTGCACAGGGCGGTCTTGCGAGCATGCGCGGCCATGCGCGGCCCACTTTTCCATCCAGTTTGAGGTTGTATACCCGACACCTATCGATGAGCAGCAGATGGACCCTGGACCTAGATACGGAGCACGATCCGCATCATGGAGCTCACAGCTGAAGAAGCCACTGGGTTCAGAAAACAGACCTTTGCAAGTTGTTGTCGAAGTTCGTCTGAGCTGCAGCAAGAGTCCAACATGTACCTGCTTTGAAGTTGTGTTGCCGTCCCGCCAACACCTGCCAACCCTCGATAGGGAGGGAGTGCTGACGGATAGTCACATTGTCTCACACTGATTGTTGAATCTTCGCTTGAGATTCCGCCGTCGCAGGCTGGCGCAAACAACGATATAGAGCGGATGAGGCGGGCGTCTTCTTGAGAGCTGGCAATCCTGCGCTTTGAGCAATGCAGTGCTCAAAAACTAGAGATGTGCTGCAAGGCGGGCAACCTCAATGAAGTTGCGGTTTCCCGCTCATTGCCCACCCGGGGTGCAACGAGCGAAGATGTTCGTAGCATAGTACAAGTACGTTGACATTGTATGGCATGGTTGCGACCTGCGGCGCGCAAGCAACCCTGCAAGTTTATGTATGCATGGCGGCATTGATCTTGATCCCCCCGCAAAGAAGGGCGGATCTCGATCATCAAGCAGCCAAACGAGCGCGTGTCACCAAAAGCCCCAAAGTATGGGCAGCTTCTGCGCACGCTTCCCTGATGCCAAACGGCGCGGTCAGAAGCATGCAGTTCTATAGGCGCACAGATAGCAGCGCGGCTCAAAAAGGCTAAAGCGGCTCACGCGGGCCTATATGTGACCACAAGCATTTGCGACCATACTGAGCCTTGTATGCAGTAGGGTACGCAAGAAGGCTCCTTAGTTTTGACAACTGACCTCACGGTTGCAGCGCAAGAGCCGCTTGCACACTCGAGTGGCCCAAATGGCACACAAGCAGTGTCTTGCCAACCAAGCCATGTGAAACTGAAAGTGCACCTCAACTACCAGCGCTTGACTTCAGAGGACCGGGCTTGAACACGGTGGAGTCACAGAACCCACTACTTGCGGCTGTGCTTTCCCATCATCAGCAAACACCAAGGCAGCATGGGGCAGCCACTGCAAGAAAACGTAGCGGCTGTAATTTAATTAAAAAAGGCAAGCACCACGGTGCAATGGCATTTGTGGCGTGCTCGGCGCTTTGGTAGCAGCCCGCTACATGAGTCCCTTGTCTTTGTTTCGTGCGGTATTCGTGGACTGAAATGCAACAGTACTTAGGGGTGAGTGGCAACCATATTTTTCAGCGCCAAGGTTGGGATGAGGCACCGCGAAACTGCTGCTGCTGCTGCCATCTTGACTGAAACATTATACCAAAGTATGCGTGTTGCCCGAACTGTGGTACCCCTTACATGACCCAGTAGCAGCATGCAGCAGAATCCCAGTTTTGAAGGGCACCCACAACCTACTGACCTGAGTCCTGCTGGCCATTCCTACATGTAGTTTTGCCTGGCACATCGGTAGCCTCGAGTTGAAACTTGTGCGCGACCTCCTCAAACGTGTGAGAAAGCATAAGCTGTCGATGTGGCCAACCTGTAGCAGCGTAGTACGGATCAGCGGTGGCGCCATGCAGGTGCCTCAAGAGCAAGAAGCTATGGAAACCGAGCAGGCAGCTGCGTCCTCGGACGCCACGGCTGTTTGACAGATTGGCAGTACTTCCAGATACTTCCAGCGAAATCTCGGTGTTTGCACTTCGTTGCTACATTCAATTGCCGCACTTGACGCAGAAGCAGCAGAATCTGGTCTAGTTGGAGTAAAACGGCCGTATGGCGTGCAGCTAGGGAAGAGCCTACGCATCTGTCCCCTCGCGCCATGACAGCTCGCGGCAGAGCCGCTCGGGAGGTGCTTACATGCGCATGATCCGTAGTTGGGGTTTTAGGATAAGAAGGGACCCCTAATGTAGAAAATACTAGCAATGGCAGGCAGTGAGAGAGTGAGAGAGAGAGAGAGAGAAATAGCAGGATCTTATAAAGGTACCCGTAACTACCGTAAACCCCCATCTGGCTCCTAGACTCACTGTACCAGGATGAGGATCCTGATGATATCGCAGCCTGCCCGCCTCCGGAGGCCAAAGGAACAGTTCAGACGCCACTGGCGCCACTCTAAAGTTTAGGGCTTCTGCTTTTTCTGGCATTCCCCACCCAGCCCAGATGGAAAAAAAGGTTTAGGGTTTAGGTTTAGGGCTTAGGGTAATTCAGACTAGGAACTGTTGTCGGTTGGAGCGGAGCAGCAGCTGCCTTTTGTGGGTTTCCTTGGCCTTACTCTTGGATGATGGTGGAAAGTATGGCCCGTCTGTGGTGCAGAGAGAGCACAGAAATTCTGTCTGTGCAGGCCCAGGAGGCCAAGTTGCACTTTCAGACCGGCTCTCGCCTTAGGATTTAGGGTTTAGGGTTTAGGGTTTAGGGCTAGAAGGCCCCGCTTTCAGGTGTTGCCGGGAGCCTGTTCAGTCCGTGCTTAGAAAGGGCTTAGCATGATCCCGGCATGATCTGGACAGGGCTTCTCGCCAAGGTGAACACATCGGAAGATGGAGCGGCTTCGATGAGAGGGGCGTGCCCCATTTGAACGCCAAGGCTTGGCCAACTGTTCCCCACAATTCTTGGCAACTGTTGCGCGCTGGTATCTTCTGCCTGCTCGTCTCACCTGGTCAAGGGCAAGAAGCTCACCAAGCAGGAGAAGGCAGCTTGAGCTCAGGCCTACGGTTTTTGCTTGCAGGTCGGGCGGGCCGGGTGCAGCTGGCAGGAGTTGGTGGAAACCGAGTACCTCGAGGCCAAGAAAGCTTATCAACAACAACTCAAGGCTGGCAGCATCTGCATGCTGTGTTATGGTTATGATGTGGGCATTTCCCAAAATAGGTGGTGCCCCTTTTTCTGCCCGAAATAGAATTGAATCCCTTTAAAGGGACCCCCAAAAAGTGCACTCCTATTTTCGGAAGCCCCATATGGTGGGAGTGAGTTAAGCAAGAGCGGGAGGCAAAAGAGCAATGGGAGCGAACTCTAGACGATGCGGAGCGAAGACTGCGCGACAAAGACCGAGTTCGGTGGGCTTACAGGCACCCGGAGAACAAAGGCTACCCTAAACCCTAAACCCTAAACCCTAAACCACAAAGCCCATGCTGCAAGTGAAGACCTTGGTAAGCTTAAGCATCCTGAGTCTTGCTGGAGTCTTTTCACAGGGCAGCTGGTCCAAGCAAGCACGCCTTGTTGCATGTCGACGACCTTGAGGCGAGCCAAGTTGCAAGCGCCTTTGGCCTTTCACGTTTGTTGCATGTTACGTGCCCGTTCACGTACATGTTTCTGAGCACAAGCTCCCGGCTGCGCAGGATTTTGTAAAGAAGATGGGCTGGGAGCCCTTCAGCCACGCGGACATGGAAGCGCTCCAAAGCGTGGCGGCGAGACAGGGTGCTGGAAACTTAGTTTCTCGAAGCGGGGCTATCGGCTCGGAGCACTGGGAATGACGTTTGAAAGTGTTTGTTGGCTCCGTCGTCCTGTTGACACACATGATCACGAGTTGGTCAAAGTCGATCGGTTCAGGCTGCATCGGGTCTGCAAAGTGCATGTGTCCGTGGCTGCTTAGGAGGAGATGGAGGAGCTCCTGTTGGAGGATGTGCGGCACTTCATTAGCGAGGAGATGGCCTCAAGGTTTCTGGACAATCGGCTAGACCACTTCTTCCGAAGCTTGGACAGCAAGATTTAAGGGAGTTTACGATCTTAAAGGGGGCCCTACAATAGACCCCCCAAATAGTAGGATTCCCTTACGGAAGCCCCCAGTGGCATGTCTCACAAGCCACCGTGCAGCGTGAGCAGGGTTCAAGTGGTAGTTCGCAAAGCTGGGAAGGCATCAAGACTGTAGAAGACGTCCATTCTCCTCGCACGTGGCGTGGGAAGCTGAAGGATGTGACTGAGGCGTGGTTGCCCTCGGTTTTTCGGGCTTTCGTGTGCAGGTCTGGAGTTCTGAAGCCACCTGTCACCCCTGTGATCCTGGTGCTGCAGGCCGCGGTTGAGTCGTCTGGCTCTGATAGCGCAGATGACACTGAATCCGATTGAGGCCCATGGGGAGACCGAAGCTGGTTTTCCCATCCTCGCGTTCCAAGACGGAACACGCGGGGCTGTTCACACCAGGAAGCTGGCTGCCTCCTGGGCCGTAGGCAGCTGTCTGTACATAAGCTTTCATGAAGGCACACTCGGCTGATATTGACACCGAGGAAGCAAAGAGTTCGGAATTCTGATGCGTCACGTCATCTTTCCAAACTGTCCTCCATCGCAATTCCTTTTCCTAGACCGCCTAGGTGTTCGACCCCTATGGCGGCGTGCTGCCAGCAGTGGCCAGCTGTCCGATGATAGCCTGCACCACGCTGTTGTAAACACGCCTGTGCTGAATGAGGACACAGAAACTGCAGAGTGGTATGGGGCCGTGGAGGCACGGTCATATTATCAATCTTGCTTTTGCGCTTTCGTACGAAAAACGACCCAAACGAGGATACCAGCCACCTCATCAAGGAAGAGCTCTCGCAGGAGACTGGGCAGAAGCATGGAGGTGCTTTCGCACAGAGTAGCAAAATCAGCTGATTCAACCTCGGGATGCAGCATTTCTCAGAGCGGCTGTGCTGACACTGATGTAAGGATACCTCTGATGGATTTCGATGGACTCTTGCCTCCGAGTTTAGGGTTTAGGGTTTAGGGTTTAGGGGATTCATGTAGTGTTGCCCTTGCACTCGGCTCAGATTTGGATTGACTGTGTTGTTGACAGCGTGCAGTTGCGTGAGTCCGTTGCGGTCGGGGTTGCATACCAGTACCTACCTCTGTCTGGGTTGTGCTTGGGGACATTTGTAAATTTCCCTTCCTTAATTCTAAGGGAACCTACTCATAAATAATTTTCAAAGGGTTTAACTACAGCACAACTCAGCTGTAACATCAGCAGTGTTCCAAGCTGTGTGGGATTCAAAGCTCGTACACGAAAAGACTCAACTCCACAAGTTCCTAACGACTCTAGTAGCCATGCTCATCATTACAACAGCAACAGCAACAGCAACAATGACTAGTGAAACTAGTTGCGACTATGTATGCTAGCTCGCCTCTATAAACTGCTACTACACCGAAAGCGTTTTAGGGTTCGCTGCAAAAACCGCTATGGTCTATTACACCATCGTGTTGGGCTATGTTGCATGCCGTTGCCGTACAGGAGTGACATTGTAGCCTTAAGTGCGGTGTGTGCAAAAATGCAGACATGTTTGCGTGCTAAACGGCTGGAAGGTTTGGGCAATTCCAAGGTGCCTACCCTCCAAGCTAAAAGGATATGGGGTCGTTTGAGGATTGTCACACATGTTGATAAGCCATTCGAAGCCCTGAAAGCCCTAAAGCCCCTTGGTGCTTTGCAGCTGGGGCCCGAGGCTTCCCGCGACACAATGCAAGGCCTGGGCTGCACCTAGGGGGAACTTTGTGGGTTTAGGGTTTAGGGTTCAGGGATGAATCTCATGGGCCCTTTATCTGGTACCCTGCACTGCAGAATAAGAGTGTTCAGCCAGGTGGGAGGCAACCAAAAAACAGACATGAGAGAGGAGAAAGAAAGTAAATGTACCCAAAAGGGCGTTGTTATTTAGCAAACTGTGATTCCCTGCCCGCCACATACACACAACGAGACTTGTACGCTGTGCCGAGTGCGCCTGTGAGTCAGCTCATCACGGCTCTGTGCTGTCGAGGTCGCATGGGATGTTCTGCAAGTGGGGGACTCATCAGACCTGACAGATGCGTGGGCCTGGGCCAAAGAGGAGCAGGACCTGCGGTCATGCGTACACGGCTTTCAGAAATGTGCATGAGATTGCGTTGCGAAACGACAGGATTTGCAGCAAGGCGGTGAAGACCTGATTGTTTGGGAGGCGCTGCAAACTACATTACGAAGCACCTCCATGGACTTGCCATGACTTCCCACAGTAATGCGGCAGGCTCCTGATCAAGAAGGGCTGAAAGCAGCCTGGAGACATGTCTTGAAAGACCTCCGGAAGCAGGAGAACCAGAAGCAGGCATGGCAAGAACGTTTGGGCAGTTTCCTCGTGAGCTTGATAGCGAACCTGGGTATGAGAAGATATGAGAAGGCGCATGAGCACGTGGGGGCGGTGGAAGTTGGTTGGCCAAGTCAACTGATGAGAAATGTTCTAGCCTGCGCTATAGTTGACTGGCCTTGGCTGTGCGCTCTGCTTCCCCGAGCCACATGACTGTGCACGGACGATGTTTCTCCATACGAAGAACTCGGGGGCGTGTTCTGAAAGTCGAACACCAACATGATTGCTTAGACCTCTCCAGACCCCTTTGCTGTAGAGTTTCGGGTCACCATTGGGCAGAGGCACAGACCGGTTTCGCAACAATTTGATTTGGGCACCAAGTATGCTGGCAGATGGGAGGAGGTCTTACTCCATTGGGGTGCACCCTTCTAGGCCGTTCGGACCTGCTACCACTAGGACCTGTTCTGCTACACACAGTAGATGCTCAAGCTTTTGTTCTGCTCGAAAGTGGCAAAGCTAGCAAGCCCGCGTATAGGTCCGCATAGGTTCAACATGGTTCAACCATGTGAACGATGCTCAACGATGGTGCAGTCCGCTGTGCTTCAGCTGCCCGGAATATGATGCTCAACCCAGTCGACCTCTTGACACGACATCCCTTCTCGTGCGGGACCATATTGGTATGTGTACATGCGGTGCTTTGGCCAGCAGGCAGTTTCCTACTCAAATGCAGGCAGCCGTGTCCTCTGACTCTCCCACTGTTCCGGCCTTGGGACATGTGTCGCGCTAGGTCACTGCCAGGTCTATCTGCAGCAGCGAAAGTCTGACAAGCCACCTTGAGGTCAAGGCTGATCCTAGTCAGGGCGGGCCGCGGCCTTGGAAGCCCAGGCATCTGACTGTCGGCTCTTGCGGCAATGTGCCTCACGGAAGTGAGGCGCCTGGCGCCGCTTGCGCCGCCGACGCCGAAAACACCGCCACTGCCGGCGCCGATAACACCGCCACTGCCGGTGCCGGCACCGCCGGCACCCTCACCGCCACTACCGGCACCGCCACCAGTTTCACCGCCACCAGTTTCACCGCCACCACCAGCACCGCCACCACTGGCACCGCCACCACTGGCACCGCCACCACCGGCACCGCCACCATTGGCACCGCCACCACCGGCACCGCCGGTGCCGGCACCGCTGGCGCCAGCACCGATCGATAAGCCCGAAGATGTACCTGACACGCCTGAGGCAGCAACACTGCGGCCAAAAGCCAAGCCTGCTGAGCCAAAGAAGCGCGCTGTGGCTTGGCTGGGACGTAGCCGGACACGCTTGACTTGAGCATCTGGTGAGCTGTCATCGTTCTCTCAGGTTTTGTACCGGCGTCCGCTGACGCAGCCGGGATCGAAAGAACCACCCCCAGACTCTGAAATGTTCACGTGACTCTACGTGTTGGGTTTATACCCGATCAGCTACACAGGCAACGCAAAGCTCACCACAGGAAAGGTATCCGGCCAAGGACAGCCCAGATCTCTACAGCCATCGACAGTCCAATCACTTCCCTGTGCCTGAAAAGTATGCATTCTTTTGGCACAGCATACGTTGTTTTCACGGAAATTACGGAGCCATTGGGCATCTCTACTTGAATATTCTCCTTGTAGTCATTGTAGTCAGGCACGAAAGCTAGCTCCGTGGAGGGTTGGCGAGCTTGCCGTTTATCAATCTCTCAAGTGTTGGTCAAAAAGTGACCGCGGGTATGAAAATCAATGAGAGAACGACCCCCCTCCCGCGACGTCATGAATTTCGAGAGGGGGGGGGAGCCCCTTACCGCCCCGGGACCCCACTCCCCAAAAAGGTTTTTGGAACCCGGATGTTCCTAGCAAGCGCAAAAACCCTCATATCCCTAAGCGGTTGTGCAGTGCATGGAGGTGAGGGATTGAAAGGATCCAGGTCTGCGAGTTTGGAAGTTCAGGGTGCTTCAACCCCCCCGTAGAGGCTACAAGTATGACTTGAACGGGGGCCAGATATCCTTTCGGGGATTTAGGGTTTGGGGTTTTGGGCTCACATGGACTTCAGGAGTTAAATGTTTCGGGTTGCTACAATGGCTGACGACGTCGACAGTCCAGCACCGACAAACCAAATGTTTTTTCTGTGATATGTCGCCTCCTATAAATTCCGAACACCATGTTGTCAACACGCAGACACACACCTCAAACGCACGCATACGCACACTTGCCTTTGCTGCTAGCAGACTCGACTTAGAGGTTGCCACGCGAAAATGTTTTCTCTGTGTGGCGACAGGATGCTGCCAGCACCTTCAAGGAGACGCTGCAGCAGAATTCTCCGCCTCCGATACCGCCATGGCAGCCGATGCCAGCGAAGGAAGCTCAGACTGTAACTTTTCGCCATCGTATACAGTATATATGTATCATATATATATATATATATGAGGCAGGAACCTTTATGTATGATTTGACCTCTTTCTTTGTTTTCATACTAGCCTATACTACTGCTACGATTAACAGAGTTATCGAATAGGGCCATCACGCTCCTCTGAAGACTGCTTCAAAACCCCAACACTAAACCCTAACCCTAAACCCTAAGCCCGAAAAACAAGAAATATAATAAAACAAGAGCCTACCTACCTCCCTAGAGGCGAAACAGAGAGACTACACCGTGTGTTTCTTTCGCACTGAACCCCAAAGACCTACCCCTAAGCTCTAGGGGAGAGGACGCCGTGGGAACCCAAGCTTCGGTAAGGACCCCTCGCCTCCTCTTCCCTGCATTTTCTTGTACCTTTTCCCATTGAGGCTCATTCACTACTTTCAGCATCCCTCCTCTTTAGTTTCCCTCTTTGTTCAGTTTGTTCTTACAGTGGGGGAACTGAACATGCAAGAACACACACACAAATCTCGCTCCCTTCTCTCTTCTCTTCTCTTCAAGTCGCTTCGCTACTCTTCTCTTCTTCTCCTCTTCTCTTCTTCTCCTCTTCTCTTCTTCTCCTCTTCTCTTCTTCTCCTCTCTCTCTCTCTCTCTCTCTCTCTCTCTCTCTCTCTCTCTGTCTGTC